ATAAAGAAAAGAGATGATAACTGCGTTTTTATGAACACGTATGTGTTTTCATTGTGGACTTACAACCAAAAAACACATGAGCAGTAAAGAAGCCATTTCGTCAGCATTCTCCTGAACACATATGTGTTTTTATTGTGGTCTAACAACCAAAAACACCTCAGCAGTAAAGAAGCCATCTTCAGATGTAGATATTTTTCAAATTTCTCATATTCATCTGGAACTGAACACGTTATGTGATAAATACAGAGACGAACAATTGAGAGCTATGTAAACTTGAACAGTTAATGTTTTCTTTATGGACTGACAACCAAAAGAAAAACCTCAATGATAGGCAAGGTACTGTAGGCATAAACACAGTGTCTACCTTCTTCGGGCTTCCTTACTTTCTTATCTGGATCGAAAATCTCTCATGTAACATACACAGAGAAGAACAATATGTAATATTACGTTCTCTGTACATGATGTCTTCTGATGGTCAAATGACCCCTGTGAAATTGTCATTTATATATGACAAATTGTCTGGAAAAAGGTCAATTGACACTAGAGACCTTTTCCATATGCTTACTATAATCTCATGTCGGGACTGAAGACCCTATATGGAGCAAGCAAAGATAAAACGAACGAGGTAAGATCTTCGACATTTTATAGATCAGATGTTTTCTTTGTGGACTAACAACCCAAAGAAAAAACCTTGAAAACTTGTCTTATAGTTCCATATGATCTATTTTCCTCGTCCTCTTACTTTCATTTGTAACTGATGAACCTGTAGAACAACTAACTTCCTAGTTCCGTGTCCATAGTCACAAGTTATTTGTAAATTTATTGCGATTCTAAAATTTCCGTCTTTACAGAAGGAAAATGGCGGAATAATTGAGGAATATCCGGGCATTTGTGCGGGGGTGCACAGTGTAATATGCTCAAGAAATTCCCGGGAAGTTGGCCATAGATAGATTCAATGGTGGATGTTAGCACATAGTGGCAATATTAGTGTAAGTAGTAAAGGTTTGCGTAGTAAAATAAGTCATAGTCATGAAAATACTTGAAATACTAAATAGCTGTGGGTAGGCATTTGTTTCAGAGCCTATTAATGCACAACAGAACAACAGTAGGAGAGAAGGCTTACGGACAACTCATCCCCTAGACAACTCATCCCTGGACATCTCATCCCCTAGACAACTCATCCCCTGGACATCTCAGCCCCTAGACAACTCATCCCCTGGACAAGTCATCCCCTAGACAACTCATCCCCTGGACAAGTCATCCCCTGGACAACTCATCCCCTGGACAACTCATCCTTCATCACATGAAGCTAAATTGTAAAGTGTGTCTTGAAAAGAAATACTTAGTAAATACATCTTAGATCATTCAAAATATTATTTTTCACTTTACTGACACAAATAAACAGTCAAACGATGTCATTAAAACTCTCATCTCTTATTCTTATATTACATAACTCAATATTTCCTGACCAAACAAATAAAATTCTCTTTGTGTCTAAGTTAAACATGAACTTCATTAACTTCATCTGTGAATGCTGTGAAAAAATAATCTTTGGATTAAAGAATATTTGAGCTATGAACAACAAACATATTATAACATCAAAGGAACTTCTTCAATCAATGTTAATACAGAGACATATAATGTTTTATATGTCTCTGGTTAATATCATATCGAAATGAAAAATAAATATTTACAAAACAAATCACAGATTAATTGGTTGATTATCTCTTTGTTTTTTAGCAATTTTTCCCCTCCAGAAAGTTTTTGTTTATCACTGGTACTCCACTAGATTATGCTGGTTACGGAAGCAGATCGTAACAAAATGTCAAAGAAACGATTTTGATTTTTACCTAATTCCGGTGTTGCAGCCAGAATTCCCACGACAATTTTATCACAAACGTTTGTCGGTTTCATATGTTTAAGAAAATGTACATGTTTGACAGAATCGTTGATTTAATACCTCACTATTGTTACATAAATGGAATCGGTTAGAAGTGCAGATCTGAACCGTTTTAGAAGTTCTGTTTACATAAAGTAACAAAAGTGAGATATAGAATGTCATGGGAATTCTGCCTACAGCTTGTGATATGAGGAAAAAAGAAAAATCTTCTATACCTTTGAGGCTCCAACATTTTGTTACCCAAACGGATCAACAGCGTAATCGAGTGAAGTAACATTGTTCATGTAATATATGTTTTTTGAAACTTAAAGCTGACCATATTCACAACCAAAACATTTAAAAATCATTTGAATATCAGATATGAATTGGTAATATAATATTAAATTACAATACTCAAACATGCTTAAAGATTAGTCATCCAGGGGATGAGTTGTCCAGGGGATGAGTTGTCTAGGGGATGAGTTGTCCAGTGGATGACTTGTCTAGGGGATGACTTGTCTAGGGGATGAGTTGTCTAGGGGATGAGTTGTCCAGGGGATGAGTTGTCTAGGGGATGAGTTGTCCAGGGATGAGTTGTCTAGGGGATGAGTTGTCCGGTTACCGGAGAGAATATACCATTATACCGTTATAATAGAGAGGTTAAGCTCAGTGAACACGAGAATGTTCTTGACAGAGATGTTTGGGCAAAATGAGAAAATACATTTGTGAACCACAATGCCTTTTCAGGTATTTTATCCCAGAAGAAGAGCGGAGAGAATATATGTTGTAACATGAACTGGCCTTTTTGAGCCCAGAACCTAACCCTAAACGGTTAACCATGTTTAAATGAGCTATCCATGCATTAGATTCCTTGACCTACTGTAGACACTAACCTTAACATCCCATTAAATAGTATTTTATATATTCCCCAGTGACAGTTATTTGTTTTATAATACGGAAACTATAAAATACAAATCACAACATTTGTTTAATCAACCTTTGGTCCTGTTTTATAGTGTGGGGTATAGAAGTCTCGTCGTTTAAAGTGTACTAAATCATAACTTTCCGAACACGTTGATATTAGTATATTACAGATGTATTTCCTGTTACTGATCTATGGGTTCATTTTTACATTTACATTTAGTGTTGAAAAAAATACAATTTACAAACATATGATAATTTGAGGATTTGTGAAACATTGAAGATAATAATAAGTGGTACTTCAACCTATTCTCCCTCTTAGTGTATATAAAAGGAGAGATTAAGCCCCAGTCACATTTGCTCTATAGTGACCTTAGCTTCACAAAATCAATATGAAAATCTACATCGTACTGCTAATCCCTACATTTTATGCTACATATTTCTCTCAATTTTGGAAAGCTCGGCCGCCTCTGTACAATAACCATAGATCAAATGTGATTGAGGCTTTCCTATATAACACATTATTGAACAATTAAACACTCCCCTCTAAAAAATTTAGCAACAAAAAGTCTTCTTTTGGGTCACTTATCATTATCAAAGCCTATTTATGTTTAATTAACCAGATTAGTCTGAAATTTCCGAACTATTGTCAAGCGACAAAATAAAGACTGTCAGGCTTTGATATGCTATCAAATTATAACTTCCAGCAGCCAAACTTATGGAGGGGAGTGTAGCTCTATTCAAGACAACAGCTTTTTACATTAATTTTTTCATTTACTGAAAGCACTCTAAAATTCTTCCATGATTTTGCAAGATAGTAAAAAGTCATATATTTAAATAATATTTGCTAAGTACAACATTTACATTCTTAATTCTGTGCTATGGACACAACATTGTGTCTTTAAATGCATAAACCTCACTGTACACATTACTATGTATCTTTAAATGCATTGCCTTGCTTACACATTACCACAACTTTATCTCCATTACATGTATATTTATAGGTAGGTAATCTTCATCTAGCTCAAAATATCTATCTAGTTTATCCACTCATCAACTCACTTAAAGAAAATTGTTCACTTCTACAACATCAAATATAATATTATTCATGTTATATGCATGTATCCTAACAAAATACATGCATGTACCACTACAATATATATGCATGTAGCAATACAAAATATATAAATTACAGTACCACAAAATACTTGCATGTACCATACGTAGAATACATGCATGTACCATAAAAATACATGTATGTACCCCTACAAAATACATGCAAACACCCCTACAAATATTTCATTAAACTAGAGGTGTCAAGTATTAACAAGTTAACCAGTTAACCGCCGATAATGCCTTAACCGGTCTGTGTTTTTATGGGTGGTTAGTTGACCGTGTATAATTCTGTTATTTCCCGCGCTAATATTGCATGCTCATCTGTTTGGTTTTAAAGTGTCAGTTTCACGTAAGCTACTCATACATGTCATAAGTCCGATAACTCCTTACAAACATCCAATCAGCAACTTTAATCCCTGACACATTGCTTTCCCGAGCTTACTTTGCATGTTAATCTGTTTGTTTTTCAAGTGTCAGTTTCATGTGAGCTACTCATACATGTGATAGTTCCGATCACTCCTTACAAACATCCAATCAGCACCTTTAATCCCTGCCACATTGCTTTCCCGCGCTTACTTTGCATGTTAATCTGTTTGTTTTTCAAGTGTCAGCCATGTGTAATCAACTCATATTGCAAAACTATTTCATAAATAAATTATATGCATTTTTTAATTTTTCAGTTTTGTTATTATTGTTGTCTATCAACGTCGCCAAAATGTCAAAGGTAAAAGCCTCGCTTTGGTAGTGAGAAAATTAAAATCAAAATAAACACTAATCAGCTGCAATTCTCGTTGTTATGGTGCGTTCGTGGAGATTCCAAGGGTAAACCAGTGTGGTAATTTAGAGGTACCGGAACCCAGGTAGTGTATGAATAGAACAGAGTAAAGCTTGACGAACATACAAAATAAAAGCTGATATATAATTTTTCCAATTTTTTTCAACTTTCAAGATCGAAGATGAAGATTTCATTTGAAATTATCAGTTCAAATTTCCCGCCGGTTAACCGACTTTAACCAGTAAAAACATCCGGTTAACCGGTTAATGCTCAAGCAGTTAATTGACACCACTACATTAAACTATAGCATCACAGCAAAGGTCAAGTAGTTCGCAAACAAGTCACCATTAATGAGTTGAATAAATCATCAGGTTAAATCAACTTAATATTCATTTCTATACTTAGATTCATGATAAATCTAGACCAGTTCCAAATCTTAATACATGTTCATCGTGTTGTACTCTTTTTTGGTATCAACAAGATTTATACAATAGAGATGAGAAAAATTACAAGCCCTCCAAATGGTAGTTAACTGTATGCGATTGCACTAGCTTGGTGGTAAATAAAACCAACAACCATGGAATGATGGGTGCTTGAATTCCATGTTTCCATGTTATACATTACATTATGCATAGGGCTTGAACTAGCCATTTTTATACTAATACAGAAGCCTTAAACTGACAAGTTTAACCATATAATGTATCAAAAACGTATTGTCTGTGTAATGGAACACAACGAAGAGATCTTCATGTCTGTCTTTGAGTGTAGTTATAAATCTGTACAGTATGAAACATTTCAGCAAGGTATAGCTCAGGAAAATTAGTGGTCAACTAAATACAATATCCAATGCTTCCTTATCAAATAGCCCCAAGTTAGGATGATGTAAAAGATCTAATGAATCATTTGTTTCTGTTACATTAATCTTGCTCTAGGTTGGTGCATTTGAAGACACTAACATGGCCCAGCCAGCGAAATGAATGGATCTGCACTTGTGTGTAGTTTTAGTAGTAAGGCCTTCTGGGATTATTCTGGAAGAAACAAGTAAGAATTACAAAGGATGATCTCAAATGGATCCTCATAGAATAATTATGATCATTAAGACTACTGTTTAAATGATCAGCACTGTATATGCAGAATTTAAATAAGGATGCTTAGACCACAAGCATTTATCTCTGTGGCAATAAAAATGTAATACAATTCAATATTAGCAACTGTATTTTATATGAACCATGCTTCAATGTCTTTGAAGGGAGTTTATAACTTTTCATGAATCTGCCTACATTTGGATTAGGCCTGAACTTATGTGGATATCTCTCTTACCATTGGATTAGGCCTGAACTTGTATGCCAACATCATACGTTTCCTATAAGCATCAAACTCATCATCATCTGCCTTTAGTGTGTTGTTCTTGGACACCCCCAGTCCCTCACCATCCAATGATGTCTTCCCCCTGAAAGAATATGGAGAATATGGGCACAACTCAAAAACCATTGAGACTTCAATTATGTCAATGTTTTTAATTAAGAATGAACAGCAGCCATTTATCTTTTCAGTTCTATAATTTTTATTGGTGACTAAATGGAAAATGTTGTTTTCCTAAAATACTATGTTTAACCAAAGTATTGAAATCTTTCCATAAAAATCAAGAAAATTAAAAAAAATCCAGGTGTCCAGTGCCTGCATTGAGACGCCTGGTGAACAGTTCGAAAAAATTCCTGGTAGATCTATCATATTTTACGATACCATGCACCAATTTATTTAGCAATTAGATAGTAAACTTTCTCCTAAAAAATATTTCTTCCAGATTTGTTGAATTATCTTGCAGAAATCGCCTCTTCCTCCCTCCGCCACATTCATCCTATCACCGAGCGTGATTTAAGCATATTATTACTCATTTCAGGACAAAGCTGAACCAGTTCATCACTTAAATAGATACATGACCAAGCAATCACGCATCGTGATATACATGACCACGTTGCCTTCAACTTTCCAAAGAGCCCCAAGCAAGGGTTAGATAAGAGGGGCCTGGTAAATGTTGGTCACAGAAACATTGAAGGCATGCTGATTGTAAACTATAGTAGGATGTTTTAAACCATTAAAAGAATAAGGGATAGAAAGTGGAAAACTGAGTGCCGAACTGATGACAAAATTTTCCCTTGAATTGAAAATAGGTATATTTCCTTTTCCAATTTTTGACCACTATATTCTCAACTCATCACTTCTAGTTCCTTTAATCAATTCTGAGACTTGTAAGTACCAAAAATATGTGGCTTACTTGTTAACTGGAGCAGTGATGCCCTGTTGTTTATTTCCGAGACCCTCACCGTCCTTCCAGCCCATTTTCTCCAGCATCTTAAAGCCAACATTCTCACATGTCAGCTTGAAGTCCTTGTAATCTGACAGATCTGGTTCACGTCCTTCTTTTAATGCCTGTAACAATTTTTCACTCATTGAGCTGATAAAGACAGTGGCTGAGATAAGAATCTAAAAGTGAGTGTCTATTCAGTATCCATGGTGACCCTTGAGTACAATATCAATTATACAATTACATGTATTTCTCCTCGATGAAAATCTAGAATTGTTCTAAAATGACCTTGATTTTTGATTGTTTATTATTCAATGTGAATTACACAGCCGTTTCATAATGTGCATCATTCCTATTTAAACTTCCCTTTGACCACATGCACCATTTGTTTGTGAAACTGACCTGAAATGTTTCCATAAACTTCTCCAGTTCATCAGGGGGAAGGAAGTCTCCAATATGGTGCTTTCCTTTGCTCATCTCCGTCAACTTTACAGCCCATTCTGAAACAAACATTTTTCTAAATTATCAAGGTTTATTCATCATAATTATATTAATTCAGTACATAATTGAGCACATGGGCAAATGACATTTCAGCTGCCCATTAATACATAGTTATAATAATATGCAGAAAATATGATTATATGGAATTTCAAGTTTTTAAATGTAGATCTTTGAGGCTAAGTAAATTTTGAGGCTAAGTAAAGAGGGTGTAGTGGGCGAAGAGGTAAAATTCAATTTATCTATGATCTAAGGCAAATGAAGTTGTTATCAAAAATATTCTTTGATTTTCTGAATTAGTTACGTTTAAAGCTCCAAATGTGAGTAATTTTAAATTTTAATTTCAAGATCTATGATTATCAATTTAGTTAGCTTTTTCTTGTTAAATCTTGTCAAAAGGGTCATATTGTCTTAAAATGGGCATGCTGAAAAATATCTGGTTGATTCTAGTAAGTATTACTTAACTGATGAGAGAAAATCATAATTCAATCGATCTGTTCTCATTCTGTTTAAAAATTTTCTTAGTTTCTTGTCAGATTGAAAGAACTCACAGAAAGCATGTCTATCTTCCACACACATGATTAACTTTTTTTAAAGGGAGATACTATACAAATATTGAATGATGTTTTCGTGCAATACCTGTATATATTTCTGAGGGTGTATTCCACCCAGCCTGAAGGGCAAGTGGAATACATCCCAAAGAAATATATACAGGTATTGCACGAAAACAAAATTCAATATTTGTTTTAAATTCATGCATATTAACAGTTTAACAATTTTAATTCATTAACTATATAGGGTCTCAAAAATCGAAAATTGGATAAAAATGCCACATGTTCACAGTAGTCTATACAGGTGACATTTTGTTGAATACCTGTATTTATTTTTCTAAGAATACACCTTTTATATCAATGACTTACACATGTATGTATTTTTAGTCACATGGTACATGACCGACCAATCACATGCTGATTGTCACTACAGAGAAATAATAATGTCAGTTATTCTCATTTCTAATGGATATTTGAATTGATATTTGAGTCTATTTCAGCTTTAGTTTTTCCATCATTTAAAAGTTTACATTCTACTATTCTTCTATTGTATGAGCATGGCTTAAAGGCAGAATCAGATCTAGCAAAGTCCTGACAAAATTGTTTCAATTTAAGAATATTTTGGGCTCATATTATTCCTTGTCATGACTACTATTTTCTAAAAAATACCCAAAGTGTATACTGTATTTGAGGAAAAGTAAAGATTTTTACAATAATACATGTACATTTATATTTCTATAAATGTGGTTGCCATTTTTATTATTTGGGAGAATTTGAACAATTTTCCCCTATTTTGACACTTCGAATCCTTAATAACTTCACCCAATTTATAACTTATTGTGGGTCTTTTAGGTAATATTGTATTTGAGATTTTAAGGAATATATTGGTCAATACAACTGTACATGTTGCTTGTAATTTTGTCACTCCCTATCAATCTGATTCTCCCTTTAAGAAATACTGTTAAGTTACACTAAGAGTTTGTGTAAAGAACAAAATCTCACCTTTTGTAGCATCCATCTCTGCTACACGGCGTTTGTGCTCCCACGTGCCTCCCTCTGTATCCTCATCAGAATCATATTCATACTTAGGTTTAATCCTCATGTTAGCCTCCAAGGCTTTAGCTTGAGCCTCCATGGCTTTCTTTTTAGCATTCATGTACTCAACCATAGCATTCATCTAAAATGTATTTGAAATGTTGAATTATAGATTTTGTTGTATAAGGTGTAATTGTTAATGTAATTACAATTTCATTTTAATGAGTGTTTCAGATTATCAATATGCCATTTCATATTAAAGTAATTTTATTTTCTGGAGAAGAGAAACATTGAAATACATGTAGTCTGATTTAACTTTTGAGAACTTGTAGATGATTTTGAAAAAGAATTGGTCAATTTGAAACAAGCTGAAAAAAGACCTTTTGACCTTTTCGACCTTAAGAAGGTCATTGAAGATGAAATCTATAGTCAGACTTGAACTTATGAGAATTGGTCAATTTGAAGCAAGTTGAAAAAAGAGAGACCATAACAATATACTATATGGTATCAAAAATTCACTCAGTAATACTTGTACATTCCTATAACTTGAAATGAAAAACTTGAATCTTGCCATCAAATATAAAGATAAAGAAAATCTGTTTACTAGATACAGTCTTCGCGTCCTCTAGACATCTAGACAGAATTCAGATGGACAGATGGATGAACAGACAGATGGAGGGCTTCACTACATCTCTATTAAACTTAGATTGAGATAATGAAGAATTGGGCCAAATGTGATGGTTTTGAATCACTTGCAATACCATATTTGGTTCTTCAAAGAAATTAAACATTACCTGTTGCTGTTCTTGAATCTGTTTCATTTGCTCAAAGTCCAGCGTTTCATCACTTCCTGTCACTCGCTTGGCATACGCTGCATTTGCCATTTGACTAATTTGCATCACATTGGCCTGAAAACCTACAATAAACAACATTTACCTATGCAGTGTTCCTATAACATTTGCAAATCTAAATTCCTGACCTTTCCATGACTTATTTTCACTGACAAAAAGTTCAATGACTGTTTTCTGTAGATTTAGTAGTTTTCATTCAGTTTTACTTGTTTCACCCTCTTCAGTTTGTGGTCCGATTTTCAGCTATTCAAATTCCACTCACTTAGGGACTCCGGCCATTTTAGAGAAAATTCTGAAATTCCATGACTTTTCCAAATCAGGGAAAACATTTTCCCAAATGAGCTCACCACTTCAATAATGACTATCCTGACAGAAACTACCTCTTTAATAAACTAATCGAGATAAAACTTTTCAATTGGAGAAAATAGAACTGAGATTGTTAGCTATTTTTCAGAATGAGTTCATTCTTAGAATTGACCTGATTTATTTTAGAATTGCACACCAACCTGCCAGTGTTGGTTCGGCTGTAAGAGGAGGGTTTATAGAGCCCCCTAATTGTGCGCCCCCTAATTGTGCCACATTGACAACACCAGGTGCTCCTAGTGCACTAACACTCGCAACCCCTGGGGCTGATATACCCCCCAGGTTGGCAGGGATAGCCACAGGGGTTGTTTCCTCCTGTGGCCCCCATCGACTTTTCCGTTTACGCTTCCTTCTCTGCTCTTTACTCTCTGCAAAATGAAGACACATTTTGTTAGGGTTAAACATTATATTAGGTTAATCAATCGCTGCTCTTTATTACAAAACATTTCTTATCGCTACATTATGAGCCCTTTAAAACTAAATCTCAATTGTCATTACAACCAAATGCCTCTTAAGCCCAATTGTCAAGATAAATGCCATTGAACAGACATTGACACGACCCCACACAACTATCATGTGACACGCCCCTATGGATGATTTTACTTTTCATCCATTTTTTCAGTTTACCTTCCTGTTCCTCAGTGTCGCCCTCTGCAGCCTTTTCTGTCTGTTCAGCTGCCTTGTATTCAGTCACCATTTGTCTGAAGTAACGATACGCTTTACTGGTCTCCTCATAAAGGAACCTATATTGAAAAACAACAATATTAAAATAGAAATAATGCAGGAAACCAAATGAGAATGAAATTTGATGTAACCTAAATACAAAACTGTCATCAAAATTGGCTACAGCTAGAATTAATTTTTCATCTTTTTAAATTGAAAGATGCACTTGTACATGTATGCAAAAGTGCCTATGGGAAAGAACAAAAACTGCAACAAATCAGAGCAAGAAATGAGACACCTAAGAATACAACCATTCATAAAGAAAACAAACCCCCAATTATGATCTTACAGGTAAGGTAACAAAGTTTAATATCCCCTAGAATATACAAATATGTATATACATATATACTATACAAATACTATACATAGTACTATGTATATCAAACATACCAGAATGCTTGGTTGTCTTTGTTATTCTTCTTTGCAATTTCCTCAACCTGTGGGCCACCTTCTGCGACAAATTTGGCCAACTTCTCGATGATTTCTTTTGTGTCTGCATCATCTGGGGGAGAGACTAGAAAACCTGGATTAGTATGGGGCCCGGGTCCAAGCCTTGGGGGAGGTGTTACTACGGTAACGAAGCTTTACGAATCTCCAAACTAACGGGTAGAGGTTGGATCTTGCATTAGGCTTGGTGTTCTGTTGGCCATTTGAACATTTTTATCTGGCCTGATTTATTCTTCAAAGCTTTATTATTGAGGATTGTACCATGTCATTTGATTATGATTTAAAATATGATAGCACTTTTTTAAAATCACCAAGCCATAATGCAAAAATCTATGCCAAGAAGGTTATCTACATTAACTGACCTTTCCAATTATTAACACAGTATAATATTTTCAATCGTAAGAGGTAATAGTATGTTAGAGTAAAAGATACCTTTTTTCTCCTTCTTGACCTCATCAACAGTTTCAAAGACTTCGGATCGTGCCACTGGAACCTTCTTCGCTGGAGGGGCCTCCTTTTTCACGCCAACCATCATACTAAAATATTGATAATATCCAAAATTATTTTATGACCTCTCTATAAGAATGTTCAAAGTATGATGGATTCCAAGAGCAAATGGTAAGCAATGCAAGAATAACTACCTTTGCTTATCATCATTTACCAGTATGTATTATTTAACTTTCACTTCTAAATCATTTAGAGGATGGAAATTGTTATATATGCTATTGTTTGTAAGAACTTTGACTTTGCACATGTGAAGAGCTTAAGAGTGGCGGTACATAAAAAGTACATACTTTGATATGCTGGTAGGTATCACTCGTTTTCCGACATTTGGCACATTTTTTGTATCGTTTTTGTCATCTAGTTTCATCTGTTTAGCTTTCCCATATTCATCAACATCATCTTCATTCAATGGGTTCCCATATTCATCATATTGTTCAATTGTATTATCAATTTTATTTCCATACTCATCAATTTTATTTCCATATTCATCTGTGTTCTCATTTTCATATTTATTGCTAATGTCTTCAGATTTTATGGGTTTATTTTCCATTTCATCCAGAAGCTTTTGTCCATATTCATCCATATCATCATCTATGTTTTCTTCCTTAATGTCCTCCCTTTTTATGTTTTCTTCCTTATCTGGTTCTGACCATCTCTCCAGCTGATTGGTTGAACAGGGCACAGGAGGTGTGGAATTCGGCCCAACATGCATTGGGAGTCTTGGAGCTGGGTATCGTGTAGGGTTTTGATTTGAATTATGGGATTGCAAAGAAGTTCCCAGTGGGGGGTTTGAGGGTGTACTCATTGGAGGCGGGATACCTCTAGGGGGTGTAGGTATTCCAATAGGGGGAGGAGGTTGAGAGGGAGGGAGAGGAATTCCACCAGGAGATGGAGGAGGTAAATGAAATCCACCACCAGATGTCACTTGAGGTTGTGGCGGCCTTGGGTACTGTGTTGTTATAGTGCTGCCACCTGGGTGTCTATATTGGGTAGGTGGTGCTCCACCAGGACCAGGGGGCATGCCAGGAGGGGGCCTTATAGGTAAAGCACCACTTTGAGGAGGGACAGGAATCTGATTGGATTGTGACATGATACCTGCAGGAGGCTGGACATGAGGTCGACTCTGTGAAAAGCCTGGATATCCCTGTTGGGATGAAATTGGGTAAGGTGGTACTGTGAGAGGATTTGAACTAACTGGGCTTCCATTGTGCTGTGACATGGGCGCATAGTGGCTCACAGAGCTCTGTGGTGGAGCAAGTGAGGAAATAGGGTGTGGTGCATGCTGGGTAGTTGGATGTTGTAGCGGTGCATGCTGGGAAGTAGACTGCTGTATGGATACCTGGGTAGAAGTAGGGTGGTGAGGATACCCAAGGGGGGCAGCCCTAGGCTGACTAAAGGGTGTTGAGCCACCCTGGCTTATGGTCACTTGAGCCGGAGGTGTACTGTTATTTGGCTGGGGAGCACTGCTAGGGTATGGCTGAAACTGAGACTGTTGCTGTATAGGTGGTCGATATTGCTGCTGTTGAAACTGTGGTTGCCCATTAGGGGGTTGTTGCTGCACAAATTGCTGTCGGGGTTGTTGTTGTTGAAACTGTGGCTGCATTCCGGGTGGTTGCTGCATCCCAGGTTGTGGCGGCATCCCAGGCTGTGGCTGCATTCCAGGTTGTGGCTGCATCCCAGGCTGTGGCTGCATCCCAGGTGGTTGCTGCATCCCAGGCTGTGGCTGCATCCCAGGTGGTTGCTGCATTCCAGGTTGTGGCTGCATCCCAGGTTGTGGCTGCATTCCAGGTTGTGGCTGCATAACAGGTGGTTGCTGCATCCCAGGTTGTGGCTGAATTCCAGGTTGTGGCTGCATCCCAGGTTGTGGCTGCATTCCAGGTTGTGGCTGCATCCCAGGTGGTTGCTGCATTCCAGGTTGTGGCTGCATCCCGGGTGGTTGCTGCATTCCAGGTTGTGGCTGCATCCCAGGCTGTGGCTGCATCCCAGGTGGTGGCTGCATCCCAGGCTGTGGCTGCATCCCAGGTGGTTGCTGCATCCCAGGTTGTGGCTGCATCCCAGGTTGAGACATTCTTACTTGGTGGTGCTGCACCATTTGCTGTTGCTCACCTGGTCGCTGTTGCTGCACCACATGTTGCTGTTGTACACCAAAATGTTGTTGCTGCTGTAAATCTGGCCTCTGTTGTTGCAACCCAATCACTTGTTGCTGCTGCTGCGGCAGACCTGGATGCCCCTGTTGTAAAGGAACTTGCTGTTGTGAATGGGGAAGTTGTTGCTGATCAAACCGAGACTGGTGTTGCTGTGGAGCCTGATACTGTTGCTGCTCATTGCTGTTCTGTTGCATCAAGGGCTTTGGCTCAGCAGCCTGTTGCTGCTGTTTCTGTTGTTCATCTTGCAAAGCAGCACTGCTCGTGATTGTAGATTCTAGTTCTTTAACATCTTCAGAATCCCTTTTCTCTTCCTGTTCACGTTTCTTCACTGTAAAAATGTTCGATCACTTAATATCATTTAAACATTGCTTAATAGCCTTCTATTTACACAATTGAAAACAAGAAAGAACTCTCCATTATTTTAACAAATTAGATTCTAAAAATACATATATGTCACAAATCTCAACAGGTCTAGAATAGTATAATTACTTGGTTTAACATGGTGACTTTTTGATAGGTCATGGATGACAATCTTATCTGATGATTGATAAGATGTTTGGTAGTATTTTCTTTGCCTTCGTATTGGTGCTATCTAATTAAATATCTGAAAAAACTAACCTTTCTGGCCAGCAACTTTCTGGAACTGTGAAAAGAAGCTGCCATCATTGTTAAATATATTTACACCAATCTGTGGCTTCTTTGTAGTATCCTCTTTCTGTTCCTCTCTCTTTGAATCCCTCTTCCATGATTTACTGTAAAAAGCACAATTGTGATTGTATACTTAATCAAGAATGGGATATGCAAAATATTTCATAAAATATGATACTATAAATTGCTTTAATTTTGCGCTATCTGATTTGGTGGATTGTGCGATTGTGATCAGTTAAGAAGAAATTGCATTGCCTTGCATTGCCTGTGGTTATATTGTTTTTCACCACATTTCAAGATGGCCCACTGGTGCCAAAAAGCAAAAGCCATGCTTCTGATGGATCAAACATCAATACTTACTACATGTTTCCAAACTTTTTTGCCCTTTCATCTTTCTTATCTTTCTTCTGTTTCGGCTGAAGTTTCTTCAATGCTTCTTCCTGTAATTTCAATTTCTGTTGAATAATCTTTTGTTCAATTTCTCGCTTCTTCTGCTCAATCAGACTTTCTTGAGCTGACATCTGACGTAGTCGTTCTTGTCCAGTTGATGTCCCTGAAGATCCAGCGGAACTCCTGTGGCCTCTAAATGACATGGTTAACTGCAATGGGAATGTACAGAATGTTTCTATTAAATTGTGTATATCATATAACAGCTTAGATTAATAAATGTTGCTATAGATTCTGACAAGTTAATTATATTCAATATACATGTTTTCATAGACTACAGCTCTAAGCCCATTCAACATAGACGGGGCTGCTTCGCCCCTCATGACTTTGACTTTTGGAGTTTTAATACACCAAGGCCGGGTTTGATGCATATTAAATTTGGCAAAGTTGAAAAAATAAATATTTTAAACCTAGCATTAGCACTACATGTACTTTTGAGTTGATTTCTCATAATCCCCAGTGATTATGTACGATATGTTTGTACCAATAGAATCCCATACCATGATAATTTGTTAAACTTACCACATCTTAGCGGTTGAACATGATGTAATTGCACTAATACGATAGAAAAATAATGATTTGTTGAAATTATTTCAAATGGGCCTACTTCCTATAGGCATACAAGATGGTAGCATATAGGTTGAAAAAGTCAATAACTGGGGTTGTTCCTTGCATTGTCACATTTTGTTCAGTGATAAATTGCAAAGTTTGATGATCACTTTGTGAATGCAATACTGTACATGAATAATAATTTGATCAAAATATCATGATTCAGCAAAACCAGTACCAGTTTGAAAGCCAAGTTGCACCGCAACGTAATGGTGCAAGAATTTTTTCGATCATAAGGTAAGAAGCTCCGAAAAAAAGCAAAACTCCGCTTTTTCGGACTCTCAACTTAAGGTTAGGGTGCAAGTCAAATGGGACATCCCCTTTTAAATCCAACCACCATCTTGAAAAATGATGGAATCTCCCTCGATGAATAAGAAAAATGTTCCGTTCTGCCATGGGCTATCAACTCTAATTGAAAGCCCATGGTTCTGCCGATAAACCCAGATAATTGTGGATTCAACTATACAAAAAGAATGCTAAAAGACCCAGTAATCTATTGAAGTAGGTATCTTTAGAGTAAGAGGCGTAGAAAATTCTACCATGTTGTAATCGTATAGGCAAAAGAATGAGACGTTCTCAGGAATGGCACGGGATAAGGTGATTCAATATATTGAAGCCCACGGTATAAGCTTTCATTTTAGGTTTTCATCCTTATTCAATAGACATCATAGTTAGTGAGTTTGGAGGTTAGACTGAATTTTGGAGATACAGTATTAATTTCACTCTTGATCAGCTCTGAGACTGATGTCTGAAACAAATAAATGAGAAAAAAATCAAATGATAGATCTAGCTAAATTGAATAATATTGTAAATTTACCTACTTTTTGCGCTTTCAAATGTACCAAAATTGGGAAATTTTAGTTATCAGAATATGCTGACACAATTCGTTCTCCTTTTAATCATGGCTGTTCATGCATAAAGGCAGAATAAAGTAAATATTTTTATTTTTTAAACATGTGTCCGCCATATTTGTATCACGTGACAGGAAGTTGTACTGATTTATTGTACTTTTTAATTGGTGTTCAAATATATAATAACAGTTTCACATTGTTTTTGTCAGCTAATGCAACATTTTAATTACATTGAATTAAAATAAATGATATTTAGATGTGAATTAGATTCAATGAATTATAGGTAAACTGTACATCACTACAATAGTACCAAAATAATATTGCTTATTCACGAAGGCAATGTGGAAGTAATTGTAAATAAATTTGCCCACAGAATCTAGAAATGGCCACACAAAAAGGGAATCCAGTGTTTCTTCGAGGAGTTGTAAGTATAAAAGTGCTCGCTAAATATTTTTGAAAACTATGTTAAGCCAAATACAGACCCTCAAGATTCGAACTGAGGTTAGGATACAAGGTTGTCCTTCATTTCCACAGTCCCACAGTTCTTCAATGACTTCAGTTACAGTAAGACTTACCACATAGCCTACATTTGAAGAGTAAAGCCACCAATGGGGCACATAGACTTAACATTACCTTGGACCTTGTGGAACTACATGAAATCACATTATGGTCTCATTGAATCCCATGGGTGGCACCGTAGTATGTATCCAACAGACTGACTAGAAGTCAGTCTGTTATGATGTACTACTTTCCTGTGGAAATTTCAGTGAAATTTTTTGCACAAAATTATCAATTAGAGGAACCATTTCTTCAATGAAATAAGCATTACAAAATTTCAATTAAATAGTAAGGTACAATTAAATGCCATAAAAAGTAACACAGCATATTGTCAAGTAGAAATAAGGCTAGTTGAAGTAAAAATGTGCAAATTAATTTTACCCAATCAGCCATTTTGAATAGCACTTCCTATGTAAACAAATATTAAAAATTACCAAATTTTAACATAGGTGCCTTATAGTCTGAATATAATTCAGACTAAATACTCCAGTAAAACCGCTGTAAATTTTCATAAATAAATGAAAAAATTGCACACCAGAGCAAACCTGGTGTAATCAATAGCCATTGGTAAGTAAAACAACATATCAAAAATCTAGAAAAATCTAAGTAGTGGAAAACCTTAAAATCACCATTTATACCCCCTGGGGTAATTTTATGAGGGGGTACTGTGATAAAGATTAATAATTCCTGTTATATAACTTCAATCACAATGAAATCTTCAGGGATCATGCACATATATATAGTTAGTTGTCACAGCAAGTTTGATATCAATTGGTCAATTGGTTACTATATTAACACAATTTAATTGCTCAAATCTTTAATAGTTCAGGTAAATCCGAAGCTTCCTATAATAATAGATGTTGTCATTTCTCTTCAAATCATTTAAAAATGAACATTAAGTTACCCTAAAAACATATTTGGGGAGTGTTTAATAAGATAGCATCATTAATATGATGAATTATATGATCACTTTGACTCAGTACTCTATTCTATTAGGTGACTACCACTCTATCTACTCAAAAGTGGGCGTGGCACTTTTTGGTGATGAATTCATAAAAATGACATTTCTACAGAATCAGTCACAGTGATATTTATAGTGCTTATGGATACTGATGTTATTCTTTAATATGGCGAGTCTGTACTTGATTGGTCAAGGGTTGCCATAGTAACAGACCATAATAAACGCAAATACACTGTTGCTCATAAATATGGAATATTAGATTTGGCAGCTCAGAATTCAAATTTTGGAGTAAGAGAATATTTATTTGGAGTCGATTCAGACATTTATTTTCTAGGCAAATTATAACCACATATTTCATCTACAAATCAACATTTTTTAGAGAAAAAATATTCACATTTAAATTTAGAAAATTACTCTTATTTAAACAGGGGTAAGCTGAGACTTTTTGCATTTTCAAAACACCCCGATCCAAATCGTCATGTAAAACAGATCAAACAAAATAAACATCTGGTCATGAAGATTGAAGTGTCCTCTATCCAATGATAGCACTTATATGCGGGATGTCCTCTTTGTGCTGCAATCAGAGCATCAACCCTACGGGACCAGCATTGAATGAAACATCTGACCTTTCTAAGTGAAATAAGGCCCCATTCCTCAATTTGAACAGTACGTAACGTGCCTAAATTTTGAGGTTGGGGTCAAAGTCACGCATCTCATTACCAAGGTCGTCCCACATTTGCCCTGCATTAGCCTGATTGGCTGACTTTTGTGCCTATGGTAGCTGGTCCACATTGCCTGCCCTGATGTAATCCAACACAATGCCACTGGCATATGCAACAGCATGATCATTCTGCAGATGAATGTTGCCCCAAAACACTCTGTTTACATATGGTACTTGATGGAGGTCCAAAAGGTCAATTTACTCTGAAATTATGTTTGGGAATCACCAAGGGGGTGCACTTTTTGTAGTATTGCTCCAAACAACCTCTGTAATACTGCTTCAAACATAAATAGGGTCACCTTCGTGGACTGCCACATCATTACGTGTCCTTATTGTGTCTTTCCTCTGGTCTACGACAGAAACGAACACACTTATCAACTTTGTGGAGGACACATCTTATTTCTTCACATGCTGTCATATGACACAAAAGATTAGGTGCAACGTTTTCGTGCTTTCCTGCCGATTAAAGGCACCTTTCTTTGTTATGATTAGTCAGCTGTGGTTTCTTTAAAGGTCTCATGGTCTTGCATCCATTCTAAAGAAATCACTGGTTGTCTATAGCTCTGGAACACAGGTTTTGAGGTGAGACAGCCATTCATCTCGTAGACTACTGGTTGACTTAAAGCGATTTTGATGACATTAATGCAGCAGGTGGTGGTCTTTTCTTACATTATTCTCCCTAGGGTTACTATTGCTGTGACCTGGAGTCATATTCCAATGCCTTTGGTACCACTGCAGAATTTTAGAGACTGTTCCTGACACACCCCTAGGGTCCTGGCAATGGCAGTTTGTTTCTTGCCAGAGAACGCCATCCCTATGACCTGCCATGCTCTTTTTCGCTTATTTTATGGGGCATGCCTTCTAAAAACTCTTCCAACTCTAAATTAAAGTTTTATAAAATGTGCACAATGGTTACAACTAAGATTTGGACACCTCTTTCAAGTTACCAATATCACGAGGTCATGGGGTCACCTGAGTGAATACACGTTTAATCAACCATAAATATTTTAACTTTTCATACCAATCAGTTTTATGTGCAAAACTGATGAGGGAATGAGAACACATTACACATTTTCACCAAAATGTTATCATTTTGTAGAAATTCCATCAAACAGTACGTATCTATAAAATATTCCATATTTATGAGCAACAGTGTAGTGTAATGCAATATGTTATTTTATAACATGGAATATGATTCAACTCCCAGCATATATGATGTGCTTCAATACCAAGAACATATCATCCGATAGCTTAATATGGTAGAGCCTTAGACCATAGAATAGTTCAGATACAAGAGCCTAAGCTGGCTCATCCTAAATAGTATATAGATGGTATAGCCTCAAGAGTATAATACGGGTGCAGTCTCAAGAATATAATATGGTACAGCCTCTAGAGTGTAACATGTATTCAGCATCAAGAGTCAAAGATGCTACAAAATTCTTAATCTATGATTGCTATAGCATTAAGAGCCTAGGATGGGTACAGCCTCTATGAGTCTAAGATGGTACAGTCTACAGACCCCTAGATGATACAGCCTTTAGATATAACATGGGATCTGTCTCCAGAGATGGTAGAGCCTTCAAAAGCTGATTGCTATAGCATTCAGAGCCTAGGATGGGTACAGTCTTCACGAGTCTCCAGTCTCAGATGGTGCAGCCTCCAGACATAATATGGGATCAGTTTCCAGGGTCTAAGATGGTACAGCCTTCAGACCCTGAGAAGGTCCAGCCTCCAGATATGAGAGAATGGTTTAGTCTATGAGTATAACAATCAGAGTCTAATATGGCTTTAGCCACAATAGTCTAATGGGTACATCTTCTTCTATGATGGGTAGAACTTTCTAATATGGTACAACCTCCAGAGTATAATATGAATTCATCCTCCAGAGACTAATATGGTGTAGCATCAATATGGATTCAGCCTCTAGAGTCAAAGATGAAAATCAGAGTCTAAGATGGGTAAAGACTCCATGAGTCTTACGATAATATAGCCTACAAATGAGATGGTATAGCCTCCAAAAGTTTAAGATGGTATAGTCTCCAGAGTCTAAGATGGTACAGCCACCAGAGTATAATATGAATTCAGCCTCTAGACTAATATGATGTAACTTCAGAGTATAATATGGATTCAACCTGTAGAACCAAATATAGTACAGCCACAATAGTACATGATTTCTATGACTATTGACAGTCAGAGTCCAAGATAGGTACAGCCTCCAAGATTCTAAGATAGTACAGCCTATAAGAGTCTGAGTTGGTATAGCCTCCAAGAGTCTAAGAGGGTATAGCCTCCAGAGTCTACAATGGGTATAGCCTTAAAGAGTCAAAGATGGTATAGCCTCCAGAGACTTTGATGAGTTCTGAGAATAGCCTTCAAGAGAAGATGGTACACTTTCCAGATGCAGTGTCTATGATGGGTAAAGCCTCTAAGAGTCTAAGATAGTACAGCCTCTCCAGAGTCTATGATGGGTATAGTCTCCAAGAGTCTAAGATGGTACAGCCTCTAGAGGCTTAGAGGGTTTAGCCTTAAGTGTTTAATGGGTACATCCTCAATAGTCTACAAGGGGTACAGCATCCATAATCTAAGATTCATACAGTTTACAAAGTCTAAGTTGGTACATCTTCTAGAGTCTAAGATGTCAAGAATCGACATCTTGTCACATATAACACCAATCTGTGGTTAATAAATGGGTCTAAGATGGTACAGTCTCTAGAGTTTCAGAGGATTTAGCCTCTAATTTTTAATGGTACATCCTCCAGAGTCTACAATGGGTACAACATCCATAATCTAAGATTAATACAGCCTACAGAGTCTAAGTTAGTACATCTTCTAGATGTCAGGAATCACCATGTAGTCACATCTAACACCAATCTGTTATTAATAAATGGGTGTAAGATAGCACAGCCTCTAGAGTCTTAGAGGGTTTAGCCTTTAATGTTTAATGGGTACATCCTCCAGAGTCTACAATGGGTACAGCATCCATAATCTAAGATCAATACAGCCTACAGAGTCTAAGTTGGTATATCCTCTAGAGTCTAAGATGTCAGTAATCACCATTTAGTCACATCTAACACCAATCTGTTATTAATAAATGGGTGTAAGATAGCACAGCCTCTAGAGTCTTAGAGGGTTTAGCCTTTAATGTTTAATGGGTATATCCTCCAAAGTCTACAATGGGCACAACATCCATAAGCTAAGATTGATACAGCCTACAAAGTCTAAGTTGGTACATCTTCTAGAGTCTTAGATCAGTGTAGATGTTACATATAACACCAATATGTGATTAATAAATGGGTCAGGAAATGCTTTGACAGACTGACGGGCAGATGGACAAACAGAGCAGTATTATAACAAACAGCATTATTAGTTGTGTTAACACAGCAAACGCATATCAATATCATCCAAACTTGTATTTGTTATAAAAGATTATACACTAAAACATTTCTTAAGGATGGATGTAATAAACAATTTGTTAAGGTATAGGATTGCCTGAAATGATCTCTACCCACATCCTATTTACATACATTATCTTGTGTTACTATGGCAACCAATTGACAAAACATGTTTAGACTCACCATACCAGTTAATAACATATGTATCAATCTCTCAATGAGCCTTGTAAATATGATTCTGTAAACATGGAATTATTTTGAAATGTAATAACAAAAAGCGCCACACCCACTTTGCAGTAAATCACTTAGTAGTTATCAAACATGAATAGAGTCCAAAGCCAAATATGTCAACCTATTCATAGATTACTAGTAATCATGTTATCTTGTTGTAAACACCTTCAATATGTATTAATTAAGCTCAACTTTGCATTCATTTTGAAAAATTAAAAATGACAATCTACCATCCGTTTGTAGGGCCACGGCTGATTTATCCTTAATATTTTCAATATTTTGCAGTTAAATTGTGTTGCCATGGTAACCAATAGTCCAATCAAGATTAAACTTTCCATGACTGATAACCAAACATAGATGCATGATTTCTGAAAATTTGAATGTGATTTGAGGCACATTATAGAAAATATAAATGCTTATCATAGTACCCCTCATAAAATAAGATCAGGGGGTACAAATAGTGATTTTTACATGTTTTCCACTACTTAGATTTTTCTAGATTTTTGATATGTGTTTTAACTCATCAATATGCATTTGTTGCACTAGGTTTAATTAGGTGTGCAATTTTTTCATTTATTTTTGATAATTTTACTGGAGTAAAATAGGATATAGTCTAGGTGGCACCGTGGCACTTCATAAGAGAAAGTTCCACATACATGTAGTCCCCCAAAGTTCATTGAGGGTGTTCATTTTTCATGTGGCATGTTCACTCAATCACTGATCATGTTATGTGTTGGTTGACTTGTTTGATCAAAATTGTGGCTTTCTCAACTGGGGCACGGCGGAACTGGATGGGACTCCATGGGTCTGTGGAGCACTGCAAAGTGGGACTCATTGGGCCTTGGGTCCCATGTGACTTGATAGGGAAATAGGGATCCAATGGGTAAGTAGGACTCTGTCCCGTTGGTGTAAGTATATCTTGCTTCAAGACCCTGGACCCCCCCCCCCCCCCTGTCTAATTCAACAACCTGTTGAATGTTGTCTGAGACCATCATAAACGTTGTTGAAGTAGGAGGGGGTCTTCTATCATGGACTTAAAAGTAATTCCGTATGTTCAGTCTAATGTTATTTTCAGGAACATATAACTCATTATGACTGTAGTGTTATGTATGAACATTTAGAAAATTCAGTGACTTACTCAAATAAATATGAAATATAATTGCAGGATGATGATGATGATGAAACATGGGACGACACTGCCCTGATCAAAGCATATGATAATGCAATATCTTCAATGAAGGTACGTAGTACAGTAAAACCTGTCTAAGTGGAACACCTTTGAGACCTTTAAAGAGTGTTCCACTTGGAAGGTGTTCCGATCCACTTATAGAGGTTCATTTAACATTAAGTCAGTTGGTCTTGGGACTCTGAAGTGTTTCACTTACAGAGGTGTTGCATTTCTATAGGTGTTCCACTTTACAGGTTTTACTGTAGTGTTTAACAATAGAAAAGGCAAATTGTAAATTGTATTACTTGGCCCATCCTGATTCTTGTTGAGATATATTGTAATGGTTGAAGAAATGTTTGTTGAAAAGGCAGCATGCAACAGTTTGTTTTCTTCATGTCTGGCACTTAAAGGACAACTGAAATAGGTTTTCTCAACTTGCAGCTACAAAAATGCTGTTTTGTTCATTGTTAGCCCTTAAAGGTTGTCCAGTTTTCAAAAAACATTAATTCAAACTCTTATCTCTACAGGCCCAGATGTTTGGAGAATCTCATGATGATGCCACAGAGAAGAACTCTTCAAAAAGAAAACATAAAAAGAATAAACGGAAACAGAGACAACAAAAACAGACAAGCAAAAAACAGGAGGTTAGATTATAATTATTATAATGCCATGGAATGAGATACAATGTCAATTTACATGTACATGTAATAATGCAGAAATACATAGAAAAACAATACAGATTCATTATATTATAAGATCTTTTACTGCTTTAACTCACATAAGATCTGACTTTCATGTTTTAATACTACAAGTTAACACAATATTTTAACATTTCATTACACTTTGTATAGCAGATTAGAAGTAGAAATGTGTTTATGTGACTTGAACTTGATTGCCTCTCTTAGCATTTCCTCATTTGGCCCCTACATGTCTGCACTATAAATACAATGGTGCATAAACATGACAAAAAGTCACCACCTAGGGGTCACAAACAGAACCTTATAAAGTTAAGAATTCCACAAGTTCATTGTTCTCCTACTATGACATCATAATATGACATCATTGATATCATTACATGACATCATTATATGACATCATTATATGAAATCATCACATGACATCATTACATGACATCATTATATGGCATCATTATATGACATCATTATATCTGTTGAACAGCAATGGATTTGGGAATTCTTAACTTTACACCCTGGTAAATTATTACATACAAATGTGTCACAATTTTTTACAGATGATGACTGCCGAACACAACAAACTGATGGCTATAACTATATGTCATCACTTCTCAGTGGCGATATAACAACCTTGTATTCAATATATTTACAGTGGAGTGTAGGAGATCTATGCCAAGCAGTGTTCAGTGAGGATGGGAGTGTTTATGATGCTGTCATCAAGGACATTGATGAATCTACTGGAACTTGTACTGTTCTTTACATTGGTATGATTTATATTTTGTTTAAGTCTTGTATAAGAACCTTGTACCTCTCTGCCACTCCCGTAGTAGTTTTTTTTAGAAAAACCAGACATTCTAAACATTCTTCAAATTTGACTTTTTTGCCAAATCACTTGAAAAACATGTTTGGCTGGTCCAAGTGAAATACTTATTTGATTGTGTTGTATTTTTACTGTATTTAACGCCAGGCTATGGAAATGAAGAGGAACAAGTGTTGGACGATCTAACTGTAAAAGAAGAAAAAGAAAAACACAAGTCCAGTCATAGACAAAGACATCACTCTGTTACATCTGAGGTAATTAGTTTTGATAATGGTGATTAATTAGTTTTGATAATGGTGATTAATTAGTTTTGATGGTGATTTCAATTACAGCTTTCAGGGGTTACAATTTGAATGCAACATTTATTTCTAGTAAAGACCCATGGATATTTTGAACCACTCTGCCTTATGTTATAGCCTTACCTGATGTTATCAAGATATAATATGTGAAGTTGATTTGTACAGATCAGTTAGACCTATTGTAATTAAACACTATTTTTGGAATGCTTTTAGGAGAGCACTAACTCCAAACAGTCCAACAACCAACAAACACCATCCCGACCCCCTTTCTCCTGGTCAGGTGCGCCATCTAGTGGTACAATGCCCCCTCCACCCCCACCTTTCAACATGGTGAGTTGTACTGGAATTATAATTTAATTAAAATTTTAATCAAAGCTAGGTATAGTAGAGACATATCTAAATTATTAAAGTCACAGATACATATATACTCTATTTATTTTGGTTTTTATTTTTATTCAGTTTTGATCATTTTATGACCAAATTCTCCTAAAATGTCTACTTTACCTTATATGTCATGATGATTGTCCAAAAGATTGAAGAATGCAGGCTTTAATCTTTTTGTCCATGTGTCTTATATTCTTCAGCCAGCAGCAGCAGGTTATGGTGCTCCCAGCATGCCTCCTCCTCCAGTCTTCCCAGGGTGGCCTGGGACTGCAGTACCTCCAGTAAGTTGTTTGTAAAATTATGCACATCTCCCCTGAGAACTATATAGCAGTCAAATACCTGACCAGAGGAGGATAAAATCCTTATGAGAGGCTTCAAAGTTACTTTACCTCATTTCAATTGAGATCTACGTATTATAAAATGTAAATCAACAAATATACATATGACAGGCCCGTAGTCAGTGGGGTTTAGGGGGTGCAGGAAACCTCCCCACCCCACAGCCAAAAATTCTTTCAAAATCATGCAGGTTTCACCATTCTTGGGCCAAAATTGTCAAATGTGAACTCCCCCTGAAATTTGTTTTTAAAAAGAGAACCCCCATGATGAGAGAAACTGGCTATGGGCTGGGGTCTATTTCTCCAAACTTCGTAAAGTTACGGACCCGTAAAGTCACAATTTCTGTAGAATTGAAACAGTTACGAGAAAGATGTGGAGTTTCAAATTGTATCTCACTATTGTAATTCTTCCGTAAATAGTTATGGACAAGGCCTGAGGTGCCCATAAAGTTACGGGAAAAGAAAGCTATGACATCATGAATATGGTAGACTTACGGAAATCTCACAAAATTCTGTAAATCTAATTTTTCGAGAAATGCACAATCTCCGTAAGTTTGCAAAAGAACAATTGACTTACAGATCTGTAACTTTACGGAGTTTTTGAGAAATAGACCCCTGGATGGGTTAACTGTTCAACAAACTCCAGTATTTAAAAAGAACATATCAGACTGATCGGTAATCCAGAATTCTCCTTTCATTCTAGCGATTACCCAGCATTCCTCCTCCTCCCATGATGCCATTAATGTCTGACCTCTCTCAGGATGATACTGAAGCTTTGTGCAGTATGCTGATGTCATGGTATATGAGTGGTTACCATACGGGTTACTATCAGGTACAGTATGTTCCCAAAATATTTCAAAGTTCATTCTTTGTTTTCATTTATCCAGAAGGATTGGCTCCCAGGGACGCCAATCGATATTCTGTTCCATATATGGGTATCACGTAGTCATGTTATGAATACAAAATTCAATCAAGAATATTGGCCATTCTCTTTGCAGTCATATAAAATATACAGGCAGGATTGTAAATTACCGCATCGATTGGAGCTGGGACATAAAAGTGTTTTATATGTCTCTGATTGGAGATTACAGAATATCGAGTTGGAACTCTGGCTTCCAATCCTCCTTGTTTCATTTATTAAAGGCTATTGTAACCTTGGAAACCAAATTGTCATGTCAAAGTAAGAAAACAAAAGATATATGGATATAGTCATCATACAATAAGTTAATTACATTAGCATTTATAGGATGTAATAACTTTATTTTAAACACTAGTTTTGTAACAGTTTTTTTTTTATTTCAGGGACTAAAAGAAGATCGAACTGCCAAAAATATTCATCAAACCAATAAACATGGAACTAGATAGCATTAGATATTCAGGGCTCATCTTAAAGTGTGCCTGTACAACATTATAATTGTAATACAGTTAATATGTGCTCTTATTGTACATATGCATTCACAACCCCCCGGTCACAACCAGTATGCAACATTGTACATCATAAGAACTATCATAAGGACATCACAAATAAAATTAGATATTGACTAGTAGACTCCTGTTATGTTCATGTACACAGGATATTTGGATTATCCTGGGGTTAATATAGTATATCTGCCCTCCTAAGTTTGAATATATTTGAGCCTAGATAATGTCTAGAGCTACATCATGTCATTGAAATAATATGAAACTGTTTCTCCTGAATAAAAGTGCATTAAATTCAAATCTCTGTAATACAGTAAATATGTGCTCTTATTGCAGTATTGTACAACCCCACAACCCCCTGGTCACAACCGATATGCAACATTGTACATCATAAGAACTATCATAAGGACATCACAAATAAAATTAGATATTGACTAGTAGACTCTTGTTATGTTCATGTACACAGGATATTTGGATTATCCTGGGGTTAATATAGTATATCTGCCCTCCTAAGTTTGAATATATTTGAGCCTAGATAATGTCTAGAGCTACATCATGTCATTGAAATAATATGAAACCGTAATGTGTTCAGTTTTTACTGAATATAAATGCATGTACAATTATTCAAATCACTGTATTGTTTTTGTATTGTCCTCTCACATATACAGGGTGTCCCGAAAGTATGCCCCCCCCCCCCCCTAGGCAGACACATATCAGTGTCGTCATAGTATGTGTCATATATCATTTTAAAGCTTATCCAAAGTTACATTGATTCACCAAGTATCACGGTTTAACTCTCAAATGTGAAAAAATTACAGGCATTTCAAAATTTAGTGTTTGGTCAAAATTAAGTTCAATTTAACACCAAATCACTAGTTAATGTGTCCTCCTGGGCCATCTTAACAGCAGCAATTCTTTTCAGTTCGGAGGAAAAATGAGTTGGAAAAAGAGAATGGTGTGGGTAGAAACTCAAAGGAAACTCTTCTAAAGTGCCTTAGCAGGTTTTAAGAGGGTTATAAAATTCCACACCCCTATTTGAAGGGCTTTTAAGGTCATATTTGAAAATAATTGTGGCTGTTAACATGTCCAAGGGGGACTCATTGACTCGTTATGTGGTGTAAAATTGAACTTTATTTTGATAAAACACTAACTTTTAAAATGCCTGTAACTTTTTCCCATTTGGGAGTTAAACCATGATACTTGGCGAATCAATGTAACTTAGGATAAGCTTTAAAATGATATATGACACATACTATGAGGACACTGGAATATGTCTGCCTAGGGGGGGGCCCATACTTTCGGGACACCCTGTACATTCAATGTTGTGAATTCAGTGGCAGTCTGGCTGTAAAATATCTCATTTAAGTCATCATGAAGAAATTTACCATGAAATCAGTCTTTTTATCATTTTTACGTATATGAAGGGAGAAAAACAACACAAAGATACAAAAGAGGGGGAATTACACCAGGGTTCAAAGAAGACATTTATTTACATTATATGTCTATAATGTAAATCTATATTGAGAAGACATCATCGCTGGTTGGTCAATGACATCATTCAATGCGATTTCAAAATTTTCTAAACACGCTGCGAATAATATTATGTTAATTTCTGATGTGTTAATTTCATAACTTGTTATTTTACATCAAGATAAAGAAAGATGTGAGGAATATTCTAACATCGATTAAAGCATCACAAAAACTTATAAGTACAATAAAGCCTGTCTAATTTGAACACCACTTGCGTTAGCCAGAAGTCCAGATTTGCAGGTGCTCATATTTCCAGGTTTTTAACATGGGAGTCTCACAGACTAAAAATGGGACTGACAAAGCAAAGTGTTCAGATTAGAGAGGTGTTCTGATATGTAGGTCTCCTTGTACAGTACACTAAACAACATAACTAATCCAACCATCAAAGCTTCAGAAATCTGCCGCTTGATAAAAAACAAAGGGCAACATTTGAAAAACCGAAACTGATATGAATCATAAAATCTTGTCCAGTGATTCCTAAAACAAAAGTATTCCCAGACGAGGATATGCAAGTATGACGAGAGGGGGTCATCTGGTCATGGATGTATACTACCATTGTCTGTAAACTAGAGTTCAGACATAAAAGAATGAATGACACATGTAGGTATACTGTACTATTATTCCATCCACTAATGAACTCTTATTGACTTCTAACTAGAGGTCCATGACAGATGCTTCACTATTTAGGTTGGTAACTCCCTGCAGGTTACAAATAAAGATGAGAAAGTGGTGAACAAGAGATTTTTGGTACACCATGGATGCATCATACAACACAATTAAAAACCCTGATATGTGAAAATTTCCTTGTGTAATAGAAAATAAAAATTGAAATACGATAACTTCCGTTCAGATTCACCAGATATATAAGTCTCTGTATTTATGAACTGTTTGTTTACTGGTTGTACATGCTGACATGTGTTGCAGCCTATTTATTTGTTTGTAATGTGTTTCCGTTTGCCGTTATTCAGTAGTACCGAGTTTGCTACAAAGCGCCACTAGCGGACAGGTAAAACACTAAAGAAATGAGTCAGGTTTTGAAAAGTAATTCAAAAGTTCACGTTTTATCTGTTGAAACTGATTAAAATAAGTAAAATAAAAGGAATCAAACGTGTACATAGCAAAATCGATAAACAGAGATGGATTTGAAATGCATCGTAATATGTCTAATAGCCTCATCGCTTCAGAAAGGTAAGATATTTTGAATTTTTTCACAACAGGCCATCTTCCGCCAATTTATTTCCTAATATAATTTTTTTCTAAATTCCTGATACCCCTTTGACAATTATCACACTCGTTTTGAACTCATTTTGCATAAATCCTTGCCCTATAGTCAACCTACCTGTTTATTTATACCTGAAGAATGTGTTCACCTGAGATCGTGGCGCTTTGTAAGATAACTGAACACAGCTGGCTCAAAAGTTAGCTGAGGGAACGTTGAAATATACTGTCTTGTGAAGTGGTTTTCTCCAACTTCCACCAGGCGCGCTGGAATAAGTTAACGGTATTTAGAAGATAATTGAATGTAACTTGCCCTTTTCATGATGCGTGCTGACCACAGTGAGCTTCAGTGGGGATCATAAAGAATTGCAAAAGCTATGAAAATTACATGCTGTCGCACATTTAATAAATTCTTACCTCAGTGAATTCAGTGGTCTATTTTCTCCGTCTTAGCAAGTCCAAATATAGTGGAATTTGTGTCCCTTATGACAAATAAGAACTTCAAAAGTTGAAGTAGATATTCACATGTTATGCCGACTCTTCAAATGTTGAGGTGATTTTGTCGCCCGATTGCGCCGGAACGGAGGATTGGCTCTCAGAATGCAACATGACACGTGCCAGCTTTCAAAATGCTGTTCCGCCATTTTGAAACCTGTTATGAGTAAAAACGGTTAACTGATGTTGCATTCTGGGAGTCAACCGTCCTTGGATAACAAACATGGCGATTCATGAAAACATTCATTCGATATGGTAGGGATTTATCCATTATTTGCAGGTATGAAGCTTTGGATTCATTTATTGTGCTACTTTAGTGAACGGGAATTATTTTTCTACCGCTTGGGAGAGTTTGAGACACGAAACTTGGAAATTGGCTCATTGTGACAACTTGTGAACGTTGAGTTTTATTTTTGTCCCCCACTGTAGACTATATCCTCTAGTCTGAAATTTTTTTGAAATTTGGAATGAAAATGTTCAGACTGAATTCTCAGGAAATTCAGTCTATTGGATATAGACTACACAGTGAGCACTATCAATCTTCAGACATTCAGATATTAGACTGATAGTGCGGTTACTCTTTGACTTCTGGTTTGGACTTCCGTTTTTGTTTGGTCATAATCACTGAGTTGGTGTATATTTTACCTTATTTTTTAACTTCAGTTGAGTCTGAATACTCTGAGCATTATTTTGATACGTAAAACATGGTCACAATCACTGTTTCAATATGGTCCTTTGATTGCTTATTTTTTGAATTCAAAGTAGTTTCAAATATTTAAAATTATACTTTTGAACTTTGGAATGAAAATATTCTCAGGAAATTCAGTCTATTGGATATAGACTAGGGTCTAGAGTGGTCCAGTATTATGAATCTGAGTTTTAACTGACATCATGTGAACAGAGGCTCAAAAATTCATTCAGTATGTGACGAAAATAGGCATATTAAAAAAATTCTATCATACCGATTGCAGTGATGTGCATGGGTTTGCAAAATTCTGAGAATAATGCCTTAATTATAGAAAAAGTTTATACACACTATATATTGTCCATCTCACCATTCCATGTTAATCTTTTTTTATTTTAATGAATCTTTATGCATCTTGAATTTTCACTAACTTCTATATTCGATCAGATGTCTGATAGATTGTGAATTACAAATGTTTGTTAACAAAAGTTAGAAAAAACAATTATTTCAAAAAGAAACAAACTCTTACAATTCTAATTTTTTCTGAATTATTTTTCACAGATCACCTAAAATATCAAATTGACAAATCTGTTTGAAACTTATTCTTCCTGTCCTTCCTAATTATCTTTAAGTCTTATATTTTATGTTATCTAATGAACATGACCTGGACCAAATTCCTCTTCTAGTGTGACAAAAGAACATTAACTATACTAGTAGCATTTTGATAAGTTTACATTTATCTATTTTGTACCATAGTATGTATATTTTGTAGCAATTTTTGGAAGGCTATAGTACATTCATATCATTATGTTAATAACATCCTGGTTTTTCTATTTTTGTACTTTTTATATAAAACTGATAACTGTATATAAAAAAAGATGTAAAAGTACAAAACAAAAACTGTGCAGGGGGAACTGCCATGTTTAAGATTCAATAAAAGATGTGTATATTTGTTAAAACAAAGATGAAGTCTGAAATGTCATGAGAAATAAAACTCCAAAAAACTTCTCTCAGACTTTTTTCTCATGAATATTTTCAGATTTTCTCATCAATTTTTCATACGAACTAGCAACTTTTTCTTGGATTGCCAATTCCAACCCATTGCATTCATGTGTATAACTGATTTTTAAAGATTAAAGTAAGTGAATTATAAACATGTCTGTATTGCACTATTGTCTTTCCAGCTCTCGCTCAAGATCCTCGAGTAGTAATAAAGGATACCACTCCAAAGACTGTATTTGATAGCGTTGGTAATGGTGAACTTACTGCCCACCTTAATACAGATATCACTATGGCATGTGTTGTTGAGAACTTACCAATAGGAACCAATGTAAGTGCTTTTAATCTGATGATCAATAAAGAAATGATGACATATGGGTAACTTTTGAAAAAATTTTGATTCGGAAAATATTTCTTGCCCCCATGGTACGTATTGTAGTTAAGCAAGTAGAGAGTTGATATTCTTCAAAACTAGTATTAGATTTTTTTGTTTTGCTTAGTGATAATCCACAGGTAGAAACATTTTGTAGGAATTGTCTCTTTTCTTGTACATTTTCTTGTTTTTCTATTTCAAGGTTAATTGGAAGAAAATTGAGAAGGATGCTGCTGGTAACGATGATCCAAAGCAGATATCGATCGGCCAGTCTGTAAAGGTCGACAACAATCGCATTAAGATTGAGAGTCCTACGATCTTTACATGGAAACTAAAAATCGAACAGGCATTATTTACAGACGAAGGAATTTATGTTTGCTATGTGAAAGCGGGTGATGCCATTAATGAGGTGAATGATCAGCGAACCATTGTAGTAAGACGTAAGTTTTCTTGAAGTTTATCAAACCGAAGCCTTATACTTTATACAACCATGGTTTACGTAATATGACTACACATCACTTTATTTGTCATGACATAGTTTTCAAAAACTGTTGAAATGATTTTAATTATACATAAGTAGTACTAAATAACTATTTGTAATCTCAATTCTGATCTTATCTCAAAACAATTATACAATGTTATGTTAAAGGAAAGCAATTGGTTAAATTCAATATTTTTCATCCAGACATTTATTTGTTTGAAAATATACATTGCCCCTTTAATGTTTCACTATATATAAAAATATATGTCATTCGGAATTTTGTCATTTTCTGAGAAGACTAATTTTTAAATATAAAAAAGAAAATAATTTATAATCATTTGTAATTTCTTGTTTTTTCAGAATCACATGTAATTTCTTGTCTTATTTCAGTTTCATCTGTAATATCTAGTCTTATTTCAGTTTCATCTGTAATTCCTTGTCTTATTTCAGAGCCACCTATAATTGATGTGAACAAGTTGACATCCAGGGCCAAGGAAGTGGAGGAGGGGAGTGAGTTTGAGACAATGTGCACAGCAATAGGGACACCAGAGCCTGTGATTACCTGGACCAGAATAGGTGGCGCCAGGTTACCTAATGGTGGGACAAGTTTACAGGTACGTTGGGTTGCTAGGTTACCTTATGGTGGGGTCAAATTAAAATGATAAACAAATCATTAATAGCACATTCCTTAGAGCATGAATATCATTTTTCAATAAAAAGCATGAATATCTAAGCACGAGTGCCAATGTGAAAGGACCAAAAGTTGTAATGGAACTTAGCAAGAAAAAGCAAACTCTTAGTGCATACCAGTAAATAGACTTCAAAATGACTGCGAGGTTGTCATGTTACACTCTCTAAACTACAAAGGAATGAACAGAGTTCAGACATTTGATTTGGTTTGGAGACTAAGTACACTATATACATGAAACAAAATTGGAAAAAAGATTTTATCATTTGTATTTTGTATCTTTAGCAACCGTTGTTTCAAATTTTGGAGACAAAGGCAGAAGACAGAGGTATCTACATCTGCACAGCTGATAATGGGATAGGACGGAGCCAGCAAAGAATAGAGCTTAAAGTTAGCTGTAAGTTTAAATATGTTTTAATCTTAATCACCATGAAAACAAATGTAATGTCAAGATTTTGTATAAGAATTTATTAATCATTTCGCCCCTTATTTGAATCTAAATTATTTGTGCTAAGTTCAGTCCATAACTAATTCCAAATATTAATCTTGTTTTCAGTTAGGCCCAAAATTGTGTTTGACAATTTGAGATCAACTGATGTTTACCAGGCTGTGGGATATAGAACAGTGATTCGATGTTCAATAAGTGCAAATCCCGCTGTGACGGCTGAGACGTGTACATGGTCTGATGCTAAGGGGAACATAATAGATGGCAGTGATGGCAGGTACAATAGGCACATCATAAAATCTTAGCTCATCCATTAATAATTTGCAACATTTACATAGAATATTTATATCTGAGAAGTGATGAGCAATAAGTTCATCCTATTTTTCTTTGAACAGACTGCTAACTACATGTATACAACCAGTGGCATCATCAATCTAGCCAATATCTCAGCTTCTTTGCATTGTCAAAAGATGGAAAGGTCCATTCAGCTTTTATGTTCCATCTCACCAAAATTCTTTTATGTTCCATTTCACCAAAATTCTTTATGCTTGCAGGAGAACAACAAAGTATGGAGTTGGAGCAAATGACAAATATTCTTATGAGTTGATTATATCGCAAGTAGCAGAGTCCGATTATGGGCAATATAAATGTACTGCAACCAACAAGAGAGGCACTACATTTGAGACTGTCAGGCTAATGAGTAAGTACATTTAAAGAGTCATTTGAACTTTAGTATAGACCATAGACCTTGTATATATTGTTCAGACTATTGCGATGTCACAAATCATGACAGTATTGTATTGCATCTTTTTTTTTATTTCACAAATCATGACAGTTGAGTATTGTTATGTCACAAATCAGGACAGTAGACTATTTTAATTTCACAAACTATGACGGTTGAAGACCACAGTAGAGTTTCCCATAGGTGGCCATTATAACATTTTACCCTGTATCTTATTAACGATTAGTATCCAAGCCTAGTGCAACATACCACAGTGTTCGGGAGAGACTCGCCTAGCCTGCTATAACAATCTTACCATGGATTGTCCACCGAATTTTTGAAATAAATAAACTTGAAGACACTAACCCCCTCTATCGTCAGATTTCTCAGAGAATTCTGGTAAAATCACCAAGGTCAAAATCACTCCGCCGCCAGCTTAAAATGAGATTTCCCACTGAACTCTGATATATTTTCAGATAAATTGGGACCTACCCTATAAATATTGAGTCCCGTTTCACTTCCCAAACGCCAGATGGCGCTCCAATGGGGTAGGGAAGGAGAAAATGACTTTTTATTCAGAAAACCAAATCACTAACGGTAACCGCTAATGTCCTTACTCAGGACTATATCCTAATAGGTTGAAGACCACAGTAGAGTTTCCCATAGGTGGCCATTATAACATTTTACCCTGTATCTTATTAACGATTAGTATCCAAGCCTAGTGCAACATACCACAGTGTTCGGGAGAGACTCGCCTAGCCTGCTATAACAATCTTACCATGGGTTGTCCACCGAATTTTTGAAATAAATAAACTTGAAGACACTAACCCCCTCTATCGTCAGATTTCTCAGAGAATTCTGGTAAAATCACCAAGGTCAAAATCACTCCGCCGCCAGCTTAAAATGAGATTTCCCACTGAACTCTGATATATTGTCAGATAAATTGGGACCTACCCTATAAATATTGAGTCCCGATTCACTTCCCAAACGCCAGATGGCGCTCCAATGGGGTAGGGAAGGAGAAAATGACTTTTTAATCAGAAAACCAAATCACTAACGGTAACCGCTAATGTCCTTACTCAGGACTATATCCGACAGTAGCTTACAGTATTCTTGTATTTCAAATGTCAAGTATGTTAATACTGTATTACACAATATTATACAACTTTTCTCTTGTTTCAGAATCAGACACTCCTCAAGCTGATGGCAAAACAGGACAAGTTCAAGCTGCCTCGAGTATCCACATTTCCATTGTCACCATAATTATGGGAGCTACTGTTGCCATGCTTCATCTGTTCTAACCTAAGCAATCATCACAGACTTTTTGGGGGCATTTTCGAATAGAAAAAGAAAATATGATACATTGATGTAATCTCTTTAAGTAGTGTCAGGACTGTATTGACAAAAATTTCGACAAAAACAATTGAATCTGAAGTCCATCTGAATCAAGTTCATCTTTGAAACTCTCCTCATATTGGGTGTGGTTTGAATTATGTAAGTAATTCACAGTAAAGGACTCTCAAAAAGTATTTGTAATATCCATCCATTCATATAAGTCATTAAACTCTCATATATGATATATACCTCAGTAATTTTGCATGGTCTTACGATCAGATCAGTCAAAATGAGGTAACTAAATGACTAAATGAGGTATTTGGATAGAATTAATAGCTGAGGTATATTACTATATATGGAAATTATTCCAACAGTTTTAATTGAAAATATTTTTGGACATCATTTTTTTATAGTTTTAGTTGAAAAAACTTCATTTTATGAATTTTGGTGAGGTAGTTACCCCATGTCTGGTCATGGGCAGGAGTAAACCACTCAACTGTACTATTCCATGAATTTTAGAATCTGGTGTATTTGTCCTTTTTATTATTTATAAGGTACATAATATTAATCAGGGAACTTAAATCATTCAAAGAGTAAGATCTGAAATGTTTAAAAGAGTGCATTTTGCATAAGATCTGATGGCAAACTATATATTTTTTTATAAATTGTCTATGGAGTACATTCTATGTATTTATCATATTGAGGAACAAACTTATTGTTAACCTCATGCATGTTTGTATATTTGTATTTTAGATTGTTCATTGCCATGTGATCCATTAGAATTCATGTGTTCCTCACACCCATTATCTGATATCCTGTAAATAAATACTCAACCACATATAGTAGATATAGGTAAAGAAATTTTAAATTAAGGAATGCACTCAGGAAGTGAGTCATTTAAAAATGAAATGAGCAATTTAGCACTATTTGAGAAATTGCCATTTCAGCATTTGAAAATGGAAATGATTAAAATCTCAATTGATTTTTTGGTGTGTAGTTGTTCGTAGCATTTCCCCCGCGTTAGAGGTGGGGCGTTGTGGCATGGGTGTGTATTATACATTTTTACCTTATTCACAGATATATTCCATGTTTTTCTTATTTCTCAATTATCAACATGAGATGACATTCCATTTACTCCCCTTATATACTATGTTCTCTCTTATACTGTACATGTATTTCATCTATGCCAACCCCCCCCCCCCCTTATTGAATGGCTTTACTTCTTGACATGGTGTAAAGTCCCTCCTACTGAATGGCTTTACTTCCATCTACCTGATGTGTTGTAAAGTAAAGTCATCATTTGTAAAATAAACCATAGTAATTACATATAATAGATGCAATCTTTGTCTAGGATTAGCTTTTTTTAAAGAATTGTGAATCATGTTGAACCGTAATGTTATATGCCATAATAGTTAGTCCACATACATGCTGTACATAGAGTGTTGCTTTATAAGTATATGCTTAAAGGCACTGTGTAAAATTATAATAACAGTTTATAGAAATATATTTGATGTGGAATATTGAACAACACTTGTAAAGAGGGCTGAAAAATAAACCCCATATCTAGATCTTTTAATTTCATCAAAATACTACTTATTTTGTGCATCAAAATATTAAAGTCTTAAGTTGGAGCCAACTAATTTATATTTTCGAAGGCCTAATTTTGCAATTTAATATCCGTTGTGTTTTTATTCTCCTTGAGGAGTAAAGATCTGAAACAAATATTTTGAAGTGAATCTGCATGAGAAAGGTCTGATTTTTAAAAAAATGTATATTTTTATAACTGTTCAGTGGTGTATATTAATCCTCAATGCATTCCTCTCGAATGGTATCTCTTTATTGATATACAGATTTAAGTGATTGCATTTTGGTTAGACCCCTCCCTTTGAAGTGACAATGACTTTATCTATGAGATGAATTGACAGTGAATCAAATTGCGAGTTCTTAATCGAGGAAATGCTAACTGCTTATCACAGGGCATGAAAAGAAAGAAGTATTCTGAAATTTGAAGCCCTGTGATCGGAGGATGATTTTCCAAAAACTTTATTATTACAATTTGTTATTACAAATATGTAATATAAACATTTCTAATTCTGTCAAAGTGTAACACAAATTATATCTTTTATGATATTATCCCTTATTACAAGTGTATTTTGTTTGAAATACTTTATGACTCACAAATTGAAGAACCTCCTCAAAGTTATTACTGTTATTGTAAAATGATATATCGATGCATCCCTTCTATTAGCAAATCAAAAATGTAAATGCATATAATATCAATTATGTACCTTTAAGCACAAGTAGTATGTATAGCCAGATAAACAATAAAAAGGGGCAAGGTTAAAACACATTTATAGTTGTACATTCCATACTATATTATATACATTATGTAATTGCTTTAATGTACATTGTACAATTACATAAGAGATTTTAATATGATTTTTGTATATCATTGATTTTCCTAATAAAAGAAAAAATTAATCAAAATGTTGCATTTGTTCATCGTTCCATTCATTGTCTCAATACATGTATTTGTATTATTCACTCAATTCAAAGAAATATGGGTGTTTAAAAACAAGTTTTGAAGAATGTGTTGCAGAAACAGAAAAGCCACCTCATTAATGATATTAATCCCAAAAAAGTATTGCATCAATTTGCATAAGATTGTACAGGCCGGTGTTTAAGTTAACAATGTCTAATACTGTATATAGGAGTTTTGGTAAGATTTTAAAATGGCTATCATCTTTAATGTCAAAGTATCATGTTTTGGTCAGAAGTGGGAAAGTACTCAATTACTTTGCCTGGACTTAAAGAGTTGCCTTAGTTTATGGGTTAAAAATGTTCAGAGGGTTGAGTAAAATATTTGACAATCGGCTTATGTCCAAAAGTATTGCGTTGGATTGCTTGAAATTTAGATATAGTTCAGTTTATAGGCAACCAATAAGGTCTAGAAGTTCATGAAAAATATCTACCGAATTATCACATTTTGGCTGAAAGTCTTAAGGAAATAAAATAATCTTGAAAATACGAAAAATGGCTGAAACTTCAAACTAAAATGCATCATGTGAGCCAAGTTGTCAAATACCCGAGGTACTCTTATATTTTTTTCAATTTAGACTCCATACTAAAACAAAAAACAAGGCGTTAACATGACAAAATGTCACCACACAATATTATGAGTTCAATCAAGTCAGATTTGAATTTCTGAGAACTTCTTGATGATTTTGAAAAAATACCTTTTTGACCTTTTTTAACCGTTTTTGACCTTGAAACGTCATCGAAGGTCAAATCTTAAATATAAAGTCAGATTTGAAATTGAACTTCTGAAAACTTGTACATGATTTTGTAAAAAAATTGAAGCCAGTCTAAACAGTATTTGTTAAGTTATTGGAAGCTGTAAGGATTTGTTACAGACACCAACCACCGATGACCAACCACCATCATAAAAAACGGACACCATAACAAGATGTCACCACTTTTTGGTGGTGACATAAATTTGGGAATGTATCAAATTTATATCGAGATCTGTTCATAATAGTATTTTATTCACAGAAGCATGGTTTGAGTATTACATGTACATGTATTTATCATATCAAATATATACAGCAAATCTCAATAGAAATAATATCTACAGTTTCCAATGAACATCTTTATACATTTTTACAGCCAGGATTGAACGCCACACGAAGATTGGAAAATATCATTTTAAATTATAACTCTATGTAATATTTGTTTAATTTTAGAAAGGTATTTGCAAAAAAAACTGACAAATATTTGGAAATGTGTTGTTCGTCGAAATGAAAATGAATAATAAAACAATCTCATTTAGAGTCATTCTATGATAGGATGAATCTGGATCAGTTTAAATAAGAAAAGTGACATATCCACCCAATCCCCCTCCCTCCCTGTTGATATATACACCACGAAAGTTCTATTAATATATTGTCTATTCATCTTCAACTTGTTCAGTTTCTTCTTCTTCTGGTTCTTGAGTTTCACCCTCAGGTTCTTGGGTTTCAGCCATTGGTTCATCGGTCTCTTCTGCTGTTCCTTCAACCTTCTCACCATCCCCAGTGGCATCCTCTCCTGGCTGTTCCGATGTCACCCCTGGAAATATGAAATAAGCCAATATGATTTTTCCATCTTTGCTTGTGAGTGAAAGATCTAACATTTTAAGACTATAAGAAAAAGTAAAAAAAGCTACATTGATTGCCTCAAAATTTTAATTTAATAATATTAGTATATCTATGAGAATCAGTGATTGCTTTTGAAAATTAAAGAATCACTTTATATTCAAATATATATGACAAACAAAAACTCAAAAACAAATCTTAAAAATAGAATTACAACAGTATATATAACAATTTAACTACAAATGAAATCAAATGTAATCAATGACACAAAAGAACTATCAACGATCAGATCAACAATCACGACATATCAAAATTTCAAATCATATTATATGCTGATTGAGTGACATAGTATTGCGAAAACTATGTTGATTAAATTTCATAAAAGTTCTGGAACATTTCATGGACCCCAACTTGAGAGACTCCTGCTGGCCTTAAAAATCTAATGCCAATGATACTTTTTCAAAGAACATGGGTGTGTGGACTCATTTATTCAATTTCTCAGAAAGAATAACATAAAAAAATTGTCTAATTTTATATAATTTTTGAAGAATGTTCAAATTATGTTGCATGGATAAAGAAATCAAAAACAACAAATGAAATACGAAGAAAGCATTTGATAAATTAATCTGTTATCAAAAATCAACTTATTTTTCATTCTTATATTCATAAATCATAAACAACAACTATCTCCTACAATAATTAACAATTTATCAAAACACTATACAGTACAACTCTTGGGTCAATTTCATCCCTTGAAATGATCAGGTCAATCAAGTGTACTCAATCTCTTAAGGAATGGCCCTTTCCAGATATTGCCAAAGATCACCCATAACAAGCCCACCTTATTAGGTAAAGATTAAAATGTGGATTGGATTAAGTGGATTGGATTCATGTATAAGGTGGATTGGATCGAGAATCTCAAAACTCTGGATTTTCATTTTTTTTAAAGAAATTCCATATTTTGAAGATTCCCTGTCCAATCCACCTTTTACATGAATCCAATCCACTTGATCCAATCCACCTTTTAATCCCTACCTCTTATAAATATTCATTACTATCTATTAGTAAAATGGAACTCCTGTAGTTGGAGAAGAATCTTCTTTATAAATACGAGGGGTGATCATAAAGTTAACATAAAATATATATAATATATTATGAGAACTTCATGGCCACCCCTCACATATGTTTGTTATTGTTTAATTAATATAAGAAAAGTGGCATTATCAGAACCAATCCTTACATAAGCCTTTTCATTCATTATATTTTCATGTGTTGCACTGCATAGAAAATTACTAAATGTATTGAACACACTTATACACTGTACTAATGTACATCATACTTATCCATTTTCACCTTTACTCTGAAGAATAAAATAATATAGTTAAGTTGATTTCAATTCTTCTTTGATACATATCAGAAGTTGATGCATAATACAGGGTGGTCAAAAAAACTGGAAACCCTTACACCATTTTCCTAATATCTTTATTATTTTAAGAAATAACTTTGCACATTTGTACATCACTCAATTTCCTACCAGCCTACCATATTTCATGACCGTCTGATTGATAGTCACCATGTTACAGCACTTTAAAGAACATACCCGGTGGCCACTATTGCACTGAAGACCAACCTGCACATGTCGTCCAAAATGTCCTTACCTATGGGGATATGGCAGAGACAGAACGTATAATAATGACCCCAGGACAATTGCAGACCTCAAAAGTGAGATCATCTGTATCATTCAGGTCATACCTGCTGAGGAATGCATTGGGGTCATTGACAACTGTGCAGGTTTGATGGGGCGCGATGATGGCCAAACCTGAAGCATGTTGTTCAAAGTGCTGTAAAATTGTGACTATCAGTCTGATGGTCATGAAATATGGTAGGGTGGTAGGAAATTGAATAATTTACAAATGTGTGAAATATCAGGGAGTAATTTCTTAAAATGACAAAGATATGAGGAAATTGCAGGGTTTCCGTTTTTTTGACCACCCTGTATTTAAAGGGAGAAGTCACAGCTGGTGTTAAATAATATTGAGAAAAGGTCATGTTGGTTTGATCATCTTATAATTGTAAATATTCTAATTCTTTCTTTGAATGCCGCTCTTTGATTCTCCCTTTAACAAAATTCATACAAGGCATTAACATGCAAAATGTCACCACCATTTGTTACACCAACCACCAGATCGCCAACCACCGTCACAAAAACAGAGATCATAACAATATGTCACCACTTATTGATGGTAACATAAAAAACACTAAAATACAAGTGCAGTAAAACCTATGAAGGTGGACACCATTTTAAAGCAAACACCTCAAAATATGTACCATTTTCCAGTCCAGTTTATGTCCCACAGCTAGAGGTAGTAACCACGCACTGAACTTACTGCGGAAACCACCTGTTTATTGGCATTTATGACGTCTTCCCACATCTTAGATTTTTATATGAACAAAGCTGTTAAATATGAAGAGCATAAAACATTTTAAGGTTAGATTTTACAGAAAATGTTATGAAGCTGAAAACAATGGTTAGATGAATTCAGCCAATAATTGCATGGTCCAATCAAATTCCTGCAAACTTGTTTTAAACGGTTTCAAACACTCAATCACTGAGAAGTGTTTCAATTTCTTTTTACTGAAATACATCTTTGTTAAAAACAACAATAAAGTGAAAAAGACCTGTGCTATGATTGGATGAATTCATCTCATATAACGAATGTTTATGATTCATAATGTGTGATGTCACAAGATAGTGTGCTATGACAACGCACAGACAATGCTATTAGTCTTATACACAAGCTAAAGCGAGGATTCAGATGCTAACTCTTGTAACACTGAGTTAGCAAGATCTTTTTAAGTTTTACACTCTTTTACAATGATCTTACCAAATGTCAATATGGCGATCAAGTTATGGTTTGAGATGAGAGACTGCCCCTTGAATAAAATTCATTATTCCAAATTGGGGGGTGTCGGCTATGAGTATATGTTTGCCCAAATTTTTTATTTCTTTTAGTTATATTAGTTAACAAAATCTGGAAAATGTTTTGTTTTAATGCTTGGATGTTACAGTTTACTGTACCATCTTACTGTACCATCCAGAATTATTTAAGTACAAAGGTACATGATTATGATATCCCCAAATCAATTTTTAAGAAACAGAAAAAATCTATCAAAAAGGCAATTATGAATGTTAGTTTGAAATGGTATTTTGGGTTAAAATCACCAAGAAAGCCAAATCTAGCAAAAATATATTCAGACTGATAGCAATTGTCAGTGTGTTAAATCACTCGTGGATTATAACAGTATGTTGTGTACATTATATGCAAACTTTCATATTCAATATATTAATGTTTGCATAATATACAATATTTCATTTTCAGAAACTCTTTGTTATTGTATTAGAAAGTCTGTGACATCATTCTGTTTTAAAATGAGAAATCTTGTATCAAAATAAATGGGACAGAATCAAAATCAAGCCAAGCAAGAATTTATCAAGACGTGATTTTGTGTTTAGCTAGTGGTCAACGTTAAATCCATGATGTCACAGAATTTGTCATATCAATACAATAGATCAGTACAATAAGTTGTTTAAGCACACAATCTAGAAACACCACACACTTGAATCACAAACCTTCAGCTGCAGGAGCACCATCTCCAGCCACTTCCTCAGTGGCGGGTGGACTTGACGCAGCAGGATTTTCAGCCTCCATTTCACTCTCTGACTTTTGCTCACCATCTGTAGCCCCTGGGGCATCCCCAGTTTCCTCACCAGGTGGTGGTACCTCATCTTCAAGCTCAGGTTCAGGGTCAATTGTGATTTCAGTAACTTTACCCGATTTCCATTTTGGGATTATTACCAGTTGAGGTTCCTCCTCTTCACCCTTGTCATCTTGATTCTGAAGTAAAATAAAAATACACAACATTTTAAAATAAAAAAATTTCTGTATGGTCATATTTTAAAATATAACAAAGAGAAAAGAAGTGAATGTAGACGAAAATGGTAAAAAGCGCAAGGTTTACATATAAAATTGTATGAAGATTTCAGAGTTTCATTAACATTATTGATTAAAATTTCCATTGGAATTCTCAAATCATCTTCCTTTCTGAAGACTTTTGTAAGTCTCAGGCTATAATATACCTTGCAGAGACAGCAGGGCACATTCAAATACAATGCACTACAGCCTCTGTTTTGTCAATCTGGGCTTTCTGGAAATGGTGCATGTCCTGTATAATTTAATCTTTAATTAGCAGATAGTCACACTTACACTGACTTATACTTTGACTTTCATTCATATGCATATACCATACTTCTATTACTTCAAGCTGAACAATCTATGAATAGGATTGGTGAAAATCAGAGAACATTGTGCAGTCTACATCCAGATAGTTGAACAGACAGTACATTGTATACAGATACATAGAGAACAAAACATTAATGTCTCATTAGATTCCCTTCTATATCCATTTCAATGAACAAATATACAAAAAAAAAATATTGTTCTTTAAAAGCACTGGACAATACATATGAAACAGAAGTAGACTTGACGCAATGGCATTGAAAAGGAACTGAACATATGTAAAACAAGATGTACATGTAAATTGAATCAAATTAATATGGCATGTGTGTGGCTGCTATCTGATATTTTACAAAAAGTACATGCAAGTAGACATATTACAGCTAGAAGATCTTCCTTGTATCAACTATGGAATTATAAGCCTCTGTCTTGTCAAACTGGATTTCTTGAAAGCGTATACTGTATCTTTCAATTTTTAAACATACAAGTATATGCAACCATTTAAAGCATGCTCATAGTGCAAAAGTGTGACTCATACATGAACATTAATGAACATACATGAACATTCAAGACATGTAGCTGACATGCAACTTACTTTACTTTTAGTGTTTTCTTGGCCTTTGTTTTGCTTTTGAAAATTGTTACACACATTTAACAAACAAAACAAGAAAAATGTGACCCAGCTGTTATTTTCAATGAATCAAACAGAAATACAACATGCATCGATAAATTAAGAAGTTGAGTATATTTCAAAAAGGAAGTTGTAGAAATTATTTCTGCCTTTAACCAGGTCCAAGGTCATCATCATTATCTCCAAAGCATTGTCATAGTACATCCAGCTTTCAAAAGGCATGTTATTCGTTTTAAAGAAAAATATATAATAATTATGACCATTGCCACTTTAACAGAAACATTATGATCTTTACCCAGACCATGGTGATTTAACAATGGACCTTTACAATGTTCTGTCTCAAAATATAAATTAAATAGTCTTACCTGTTCAATTGGAATGTAATCACCATGCTGTTGGCAGCCAATGTCAAACACATATTTTCCTTTACCCTCAGTCTGGAAAATAGAAAGATTTTTATAAATATTATGACATACAGTAAAAACTGTCAAGGGAAACACCTCTTTAAGTGGAACATACATAACTGGAACACTTTGACCCATCGACCCTAAAACATTATTATGGGCTTTTTAATTTCAATATCATATGTATCATACTATTTACAGCCTGTTTTCCTTTTATCAAATTATTTATATTAGTCTACTTATGTAATTGAATTCATTCCTAACATCTGTCAAGGTATAACACCAATATTTGTAATAGTATGTGCATTATAGCAACTTTTTCTTAACATTAATTTCAAGATCAATCTGAGCTATTGTGAATATCCAATCCAATAATTTGATTAAATTACCTACCCTGTCTTCTTTAAAATGTCCTACATATTTATGATTGGCATGTATGAGTTCCCCAGAGCCTTCCCTCTTGCCTTCTTTCCAAGTGCCAGTATATTTTGATCCTGTGTCTTGGTATGTGTAAACTCCCTGTCCATGTCGAACATGGTTTAACCACTCGCCTTCATAACAGTCTGCATTTACATAGTAATATTTGCCATATCCACTACGCTGATCATCAACCCAACTTCCTGAAATGATACAGAAAAGTATAACCTGGGGTCACAATTTATCAAAAAATATATTTATAGGAGAAACGAATCAACATTGAAAATATAGACATGATCAATGTTCTTTATCAAATAAAAACAAAATTATACTTTACATCAACTTCATCAAAATAAGCTAAATATCTTCATTCAATCTGACATTCAGGGCAATCCAACTAGTATTCTAGAAAGACCATCTGACATCTCATAATGAATATCAAATTGTTTGGAACGTGAGCCTGAGAAACAATATGCTAAAATTACAGGCTATCAGATTTGAAACAAACTGAAACTTACCATCATATTTGGAGCCATCTGGATATATAAATGTACCTTGTCCATGTTTTTTATTTTTACAATATTCTCCTATGTATCTCGCTCCATTTTTAAATCTGAAAGGACAAAATAAATGCTTGCCTTAATGTGCTGTTTTAGTAAAAACAATATGCAATTGAATTCTCATGTACTATTTCAGTTTGCAGATTATCTGTTTGTAGAGACATGTCTCTGGTTTAATTAATATATGATTTGAAAAAACTTTATATAATGATTGTAAAAAATCAGTGACAAGTCTTTGACAAATTGGGCCAAAAACATTTACATGAAAGTGTCATTGACTCCAGAAAGGCTTTGATTTGAGGTGAATGTGCATTACATACCATATCATTAGCTGATCAAAGAACACTAGAAGAAAGCGAAAGAACAAAATGTTAATAAAAAATACTCACCTATATGTGCCTTGTCCATGTCTTTTGCCATTTTCGTATGTTCCTTCATATGTGTCCCCATTTGGTAGTGTTGCTTTGCCATGACCATGACGTTCATCTCGTTCATTTCTTTCACCTTCATATTCCTGAAAGTTTATAAGTAAAATACAGTTTATAGGAATTTCTGCCTGTTAACTGATCAATTGCTTGAATCTTATAGTTCTGAGGTTAGGCTTTAAAATGACAAAATAGAGTAACACTATAATAATTAAATATTGTACAATGAAAAGGAACAAATATTTGACAATGACGACGATTTTTGTATGAGTATGGTAAAGGACAGGTAAACTTCGACATATGAGATGAATTAGGCTTACGAAGCACAAATAGAATCTACACTTGGAGGAAGTGTAAGTTGTCACTCGTTTACTGACTGATATTCCCTGCAAAACTTCGCTGCTTATCACACTATTTCCTGATTTTTAGAGTATATGTTTTGAGAAACTATAAAAGGTCAGTGAGGCAAATAATAAAGAGTTGATTTTGAACTGTGAAGTGCAAACATGACTTCAAAATCACCAAAAAGTTAAGTGACATTATGCATTTCCTCCATTCTGAAGATTAGCTAGCCTAAATTAAATTTCAATTTCATTTGAATTTTTTCAGAATTGTTCTAATCGTGCTTGCTTGGATAGAGCTCTACTTAAAAAATCTGAGCATTTATGCTTAAAAAACCTACCCCTAAGTAAGGCCCTTGCTCTTCCTCCTCATAATCAGATCCTAAATCTGACATTGTTCTTGTAATTTGTGTATTATAAGTTAAATGTGCTTCAAATTTGGTGAGCTTTAATTTTCAAAACAATGTCGGATGTAAACATCGGTTGCTATGGGAGATCTCGAATATTGCGATAGTTCTCGAGACGTGGGAAATACGCCATCTATCAACACGCACTATAACTAAATAGTATGTTGTTATCTCAAGTTTCAGGAAGTTCAAAGTCAACTGGTTAAGAATTACAGAAGTTAAATATGTGTTTGTTTCCCTTCTTCCGAGTAAATTGACACGAAGTTGTTTATTCAATTTTTAAATAGGAAGACAAAATGACCCTAACTTTGAACTAAATAGACATTCGCTTTAGAAATCAGGAAACAACAAAATCAGTGATTGGTTGGTTGTTCATACTAGCATCCCTATCGAATAATTGTAAATTGTATATAAATACTACACAGCAATTTCATTTTCTTCACATCACCAATTCAATCAGTATTTTAACTATCACTGGAACAATTTAATCAAAGAATCACAATGAAGACACTGCCTGTGCTGCTTATTGCTGTGGTTGTTTTAAATGTGAATTGCGCACCAACAACGGTTGCACCGTCAGAGCAGTCGACTACAACACTACATAGCTATCAAGGCCAAGTCGACAGCGCCAGTGAGAGTCACACATCCCTGTTATTACCGTCAGAGGTAGGTCTCATCAAGTGCTTTCGTATCTACAAATTATAATTGCATTTTCATTTTCAATGATGGCATTTGAATTGTAGATTTTGACAATATATCTTAAATCACAGATTGGAAGAAGTATAAGACATGATGTAAATCAAAATGTAAACTCGGAATTTTCATGGCCTTATAGAATCCATAGTATTTCAAACTTTTATAATGATATAACAATATTAATGCTCAGTTTGATCAATAATTGATCCACGGGCCTTAGATAGGCTATTGCATTGAGTCTCGTAATTATAATTAAATTTATTATTATTCAGAATGATGACTCAGAAATTAAAGAGAAAGTGAAAGATCTCATTGAAACAGCAACAGAATTTGCAACAGGGTCACATCAACTTGTACACAGGGCAGCCACAAAAGGGTTAACTTATGATGACACTATGTCAGCTATAGACGATTTGAAATCTCTCCACGAGGACATAACTAGTATCATCGTCCAACTTTCTGATCTCACTGAAGGTAAAATATTTTGAAGAATTTCTCCAGATTAAACGTATTTCGAATGTTAAATGCGTACCTTTTCAGCATTTTAATTTGCATAGTACAGTACTTTACTTTTAATAGTTTGTATATCGCCAACATCATTCAATTGCTGTTTGTTTTAGACGAATCTCAAGATGAAAATGCGGAAGATGAGAAGGAAACAACATATGATGAAACAGTACTCGACAAAATATTTTTAGAAGCGCTCAAGAAAATCGAGTTGTCAAATGAAGACATTCTTAGCCTAATTGTGGATCAAGGTATGTAAAACGTATCCCTATAACAACTATTTCCCGTATACGTTCTAACACTCAATCGGGCGAAGAAATGCTACGAAAGGGGGTAACTCCCCAGGGTAACTGATCCATAGAGGATCATGCATATATAAATTGTACATGTTTGGGTACAATTACCCTGCACGTAGAGTTTAGTTATAAACGAAGACGAAGCTCTCTTTTAAGAAGTGAAGTCGAACGAATGCAAAGGATAGCGAACCCAATATCTCTTAAAAACGTGTATCTTATCTTCCTTGTCTTTCACGTTGAACCTTTTAAAATATCCAAGATCGTTATATTTTTGCCCTAAAGAACGTGGAATTACTTGGTAGAGTTTAATCTTATAACAAGTCCAATGAATTGATTCATTATTCCAGGTCTCTTGGGCACCGATGGAGCAAGACTTCGCATGAGCACCAAACTACTGAACACCATAGCAAGAGAGGGGCTTATCGAAGCTGCACAAGATCTCAAATTAGGTACAATTCAATATTTTCGATAGATATATCACTAACTCAACTTACCATAGTATTAGATTAATTTAATTTAAAAATGTTTCAATTTCACAATTATTGATTTAATGATACTTTACTTACATTACTTACATATTGCTCACAGCATATTTCATGAAATCAATTTAAGTTTACAAAATAGATCCAACCCAAGAACGTATATATTATCAAATGCATCCAATGTACTCATAATTAACACACATCCTCCATTTGCCCTTATAGCTCTAGAAGAAGAGATTGAAGACAGTGCTGAGGTTGAGGAGATCGTTACTTCCATTCTCCACTACGCGAATGCCATGGAGACAACACTCGAGGCTATCAAGGAAGCATTTGATGATGCAGGTAAGAGAGCACTTAGTAGTTGACTTCACTGTGATTAAATATCCCAAATCTTATTACGTACACCAATCAAAGGGGCATCGTGGGCTTCCAAAACTTTACAGTGCATAGAACTTGTAGCACTTGAAGATCTTGCATGATGGTACCTACAATGTGCAAAGAGACGCAAGGTTCGAGGAATTTTTAATAATACTGTCAGATTATTTACCATTATAGATGACACATTTTTAATGTATTGGACGTTTGTATTTTTCAGCGCTATTAGTTTCAAGAGAAGCTGGCCTTTTATCAGAAAGCAGTTCGTCCGATGAAGACCAAGATTCAAACGACGAAGATGAAATTGATGGAGATGATAGCGATGAAGATGGTAGTGACAACGATGACAGCGACGAAGATGATAGCGACGAAGATGAACAAGAACGCAGAGTAAGAAGAGATACTGGGAATTATAACCCCACTTATACACTCCCTGGACAGAGAAGGTAATTACCGTTATCCATCACTCAAAAATCAAATACATTTGAATTCTGAAAAAATTTGCTCACTGAAGAGATCGTAGCAAAGTTGGACATTTTTTTCAATTTCATAGAGACTGTGACGACGATTTTCATTATAAAATAGGTAGCATGATATATCCATTGTTATCAATATAATTTTCCATAAAAATGGCAAAAAGACAATGATCTATCACCAAACGACAGTTAAATGGCACTCTATATAAGGGTATAAGAGGCCCAAGACGAATAAAATTACTCCCTCGTGAGCCATCGCGGTTCAGGGGGAGATAACCTTAGTTACACAGTTAATAAGAGAGTAGATAGAACAATAATTGACTATGATTTGTTGAGGACCTAAAACAGAATAAGGCGTCACGACACCCCTTGCAACATATTCCTTAGAATTGACAGATTACCAATCCCATTTTTCATTTTATTTTTCATATGTTTCCAGGCCATTTTACAATCCAAACACACCTCGGTTTACCTTACAAAATAGGCGCTTTGGACAATATAACTTAGGGCGAGGATGGGAACTCAACAGAGACACCCTAAGTTGGACCAGTAGAAGTGGAAACGCACGTTTCAGCGTCTCTCCAAAATGGTCATTGTCAAATCCTGGAGCATCTGCCAGTTTCAGCTACAGATTTGGTGGATAAATAATTAAATATAGTTAGACACTTATTTTTGTTGACTTAAAACTTTACTATTTGGTCATATATTTATCGAACTTTGAAAAGAAAAACACCCGAAACTACGTATGTACGATAAACATAATTCAAAGTTGAAGTTTAACTGAATCACATGGACTCATGGAAATCAAATCATGGACTCAAAACACTGTATTTTGATCAGGAATGTGCAATTATGTCTGTGTGTTTGGATACGCATCTTACGCTCACTGAAACGTTATTTATATTTTCTATTTTTGTCAATTGTTATAATGTACATTTATGTAAGGAAGGGAAATAAATAAACGGGAAAATTAGTATTTTTATATAAATGAAGCAAGTTTTGTTGAAATAATATTGAGAGGCTTGGGCCCTAATAGCACGTAAAAAGCGCGCTTTATTTCAAATAACCCTTGCGTCTAATCGCCGAACACCGTCCACAAAAAAGTTGAGACTGTAACAAAATGTCACCACTTGTGGTGGTGAAATAACAATGTAAGCGCTGTTCTTAAAAAGGCAGCCAAAAAGTGGAAAAACATTAAAAAGAAAATCCCTAGCATCCCAAGCAATGATCTTACGTATAAAAGTGACTAACAACCCTCCATAAATGAAACATTAAAAAATTAGGACCTAATCTAGGTCATTACGTCTTGGATTCGACAGTGAATGATTGAAATATTATTGGACTATAGTAAGTATCATATGTGGTGAGCAAGGTGTTCACAATGCATGATGCTAAATGTATGAAATATATAAATGTGAAAATAAAATTTAAAAAATAAACACATCGCCTTGGGGGCAAGGCTAGTTAAATCATACATCGGCATAGCCAGGATTTAAAATTAGGCGAGGCTTTGAATCAGCTGCTTTGGATATGTGATGCAAAAATTGAATCATTCCACAAAATTCACTTTGCTGGGTTGCTACGCCAATAGGAAAAGATCGACGGACGCCTTTCAACTTTCGGATTTAATTTGATGGTCTACCGACCGAGCCTAGACGTAAAGTACACGCGATGCAGACATAAATTGACGTTCCGCGACGCACGTCAAGAAGTAAATTACAATCGTTCAGATGTTAAAATTGTGTTCTGCCTGCATATCTTGAATTATTACGGGATGGGAACGCTAGATTACTCCGATACTCCGATTACGCTGGTTACCAAAACGGTTCGTTTTGGTAACAAAATGTCGGAACGTCGAAGGTACGATTTTTCTTTTTTCCTTAGTTTCATGCGCGTTGTAGGCAGAAGCCCCACTACGTTTTTTCTCACAAACGTATATCAGTATCATATGTTTTAGAAAATGTTCATGTTTGCGAAAAAATAGCTCAGAAGACAACAGAATCGTCGATTTAATTCCTCACTTATGTTACAAAAACGGTTTTGGTTGAAAATGCGGATCTTAACTGTTTTTCGAAAAACCGTTTATGTAACTCAAGTGAAGAATTAAATCGACGATTCTGTTGTCTTCTGAACTATTTGATCGCACATATGTACATTTTCTTAAACATATGATACTGATACACGTTTGTGTTAAAAAAATGTCGTGGGAATTCTGCCTACAACGTGTGAAATAAGGAAAAGAGAAAAATCGTACCTTCGACGTTCCGACATTTTGTTACCAAAACGAACCGTTTCGGTAACCATCGTAATCGAGTCGATCACCAGTGTCAGATCAGATCAACGAAAATCACTTACTCCATGGCTCTCCATGCAATGGGTATATCATTTTGGAGTTCAACGACGTAAAAGAAATTAAAAACGGCCCAATAGGTCGGACACATTTGAATCAAAAATTGATGATTTTAGATGAAAAATCTGGAAAAGTTATACAATTAATTTACAACTTATCATTGATAGAGGAATATTTCTCAAAGGTTGTCAAAACCATGGGCTTTCAATTAGATAGTTGAAAGCCCATGTCAAAACTGACGAGGTTGCCTGTCTGCCTCATCCTGGCTACGCTACAGGAACTCTTAAATGTTTACTTTCTGGTAATCTATCTAATTATATTTCAGATGTGAATTGAAACATGTTTAGGACTGAGGAACAGCAGATATGATATTAAAATTTGTCAACGATATGATTGAACATTCCCTATTAAATATAGTGTATTTTAGCACTGGCGGATCCAGAAGCTAACAGTGGGAGGGGGATATATTTCAAACCAAAAATAATTTGGGCCCTAAAATGGCCAAGCACGGACCTGGGCCAAGTAATGCCTTAAAAGGACCACATAATGAGGCCCTACAAAATTGTTGGGCCCAAATTTTTTTCTGTGCCCACCAAAACGGCCCCTCGTCCCCCCGCCTGGATCAGGCGTGAAAGAAATTATGGTCCCCCAGGGATAATGCCAATGGTCCCCCCTTTAAAGGCCCTTACTGGCCCTGATTGAGTATAAGATAATAAGGGAAAGAGGTCACCATATAAATCCATGGAGAGTAGGACCATAAATTAATAGGCCTCCTATCCCTTTAGCCTACACAGGTGTACTGAAGGGTACTACGGGAGGTCCTTTCAAATTATGGTCCTACTCTCCATTGATTTATATGGTGACCTAAATACAACACTTTCCCTCATTATCTTATACGCAATCAGGGCCAGTAAGGGCCGTTAATAAAGGGGACCATAATCCCTAGGGGACCATTAGGTTTTCTTTCACACCTGCCAGTGTTTAGCCGGAGCCTTGCAGGTAGGCTAAAACTAGACTGACTAAATAACATGTTCAAATGTAAATAAACCTTTAATTGGTGTATAATTCCACATTATTGTGTTTAAAATCTTTAATTATGAGGGAATAAAGATACTGAACTGAACCGAATGGGTATTACTTGGTGAATATGTGGAATAGTTTGTCTTGGGTGCACACATCAGGAATTCGAATTACGCGCTACTTTTGAGAGCACCTTTGCATAAAATAGTTCTCAAATAAAATACAGCTGAAGGATGAAATTATCGTTCTATATTGGAAAAATGAAGCCAAATCACAAACACTAATTTAGTTTACCCTTTGTCATCGAATAAATTAGGAGAGACGAAAACCTCGAAAAAGATTGAATGTTTTTCACCCTGATCAAGCGGATGAATACGAATACAGACAACATGGCGGACCAAAGTGAGATGTGAGGTACTGAATAATTTCTACACATTTTCACTGTTATTGAGCAGTTGTAAAGATTGATTGTCGGATTTATATCAATTTAGTATAATTTACCAACTGGAGTACATTTGGGTCATAATTTTGAACTGATCAACTGACCAGAAGTGACGAAATACATAGCTTTTTCTTCACCAATGGTGAGTGATTTTTTGATTTTCCAAAAATTGTCATTATAATCTATTTTAGCCATTTTAATTGTTGTCAACCTAGTAAGTAGCACAGGGACTTTATCAACTGACATTGGCCATCCTGGAAGACAGACCATGCATTTTATTACTACTTCTGTGAATATGGCTCATATTCGCCCACGTTTGTTGGTAGTAGTAGTATAGGAGCCCTAACTCATTCTCAAAATTCATTTTGTTTGTTGCGTATCTCACTCCAAGCAAACCGCCATATTGGAAATGGGTTATTCATATTGGACCAAATTTCGGTACAGATGCTTCGGTTGGGGACAGAAAGGGTTAATATCTGTTCGGTATCGGTACATAAATTCATTCCTTAAAATGCATAAAAATATGTAGGGTAAATAGCGAGGAACACCTCCGATTTCGTTCTTAAAAAATAAATATTTTCACTTACCTCGTACCTAGATTACACTTCTTTGCATTGAAAGTGTTATCAACGGACCTGCGATTTCAGGGAGATGGTAATGCTTGTTTGTAAATTTCTTCATCGTCGTTTATCGAGTGCATTATCTCTATGCCGGGTGTTATTGTAGGAAAGAAATTGAAAAATCGAGCCGGCATCTAAGTCGAAAAAGTCCGCAGTTTGGAAGTATTTTGGGACTCAGATATCACAAGGTAAACAAATTGGTGATAGTACACCGTGCAGACTATGTGAAATGCCGATCACATTCGAAGCAGTTTTTTATTTCTGAATATGATTTTGACAAATGAAACTGCCATCATCAGACATTGCATCATTTTTCTTTGATGTTCTGTCCTGTCCCGAAAGTATGGTGTCCCGAGACCATTTGTTCCGTTCCGTACCGAAATTTTTTTGGACCATGACACCTCTAGTCATGGGCCTATTTCGACCATGGGGCTATTGGCCACATTGGGTTATATTTCCAATTCATGAAGTCTGCCATGTTTGTTTATGAAAAATTATAAAAATAAATTGAAAGATGGCTGATCCCAGAAATATGAATTATCAGCAATTGTCAAAATAACCCCATGGTCAAAGTAGCCTCATGACAAAGTAGCCCCATACATTGAAGTTTGCCGCATTTCCCCTAGGCTGCCTAGCTATCAGTATTAGCTAGTATTACTTGCAAGATTTAATAGGACTATCAGGCATGGCTATGTTGTAGGGTTCACACCTTGTACATATATCATATCAAAATTTGAGTCTTATAAAACAGGCTTAAATCATGCAATAAAGGGTTGCTGTTGGAACTTTAATAATGAAGATAATTACTTCATGCAGGAAGAGGCTTCCCTAGGTATGGAGAAACTAATTACTATTATTACTATATGATAAATGATATTCATTATGATAGTTTAATCTTTGCTTATAATATAACGTCAGTATTGATAGGGAGCATTTTCCTGTTTCTGTCATATTTTTAATACATGTATTTTCATATTTTTTCCAGCCTCAAAAAATAAAACTTTTATCAAACTGTATGTACACATATTTGTTTGAGTCTCAACTGACACATTTTGTTGATTATCACACTTAATTTACGCTCCAAGAGTAGAATATTCATTTGAGATTTTATGATCAGGCTCTTGATACTTACCCATGCTTGTACAAGTGTTTGAGCTATTGCAATAGTTGCATAGCTTTATAATGAATTTGATGAGAAAGTATGTAATAAATCACTTCAGGTTGAGAGCTATCAAACTATAAAAATAAAGAAATCTCAGGTCTACTTAAACAGAAAAACACTTGCAATCAGCAAATCTAATAAGAATATGAAATTCCGGAAATTTATTTTAATTAGTACAGTACAATTGCTAGGTATTGGCAGGTTTGGGATCCTTATTAAACACACTTTCATTTGAAGATTTAATCAATATAAATTCCAGTATTTTATGAAAATAATCAATGCTATAAGAGTCTCAGTTTTGATATCATGTTACGATTCTGTGATCTGCTCATATGGAAAATGTGATTTCTTGTATGCATTGGCTTGATTGATATGGGTCTTGGAAATACATATA